TTAAAAATTCCTAAAAAATAATAAAATAGTATCAATAACGTTTATTCTTACTAATGTACTGATAATTTGGGAAATCCTCTGGATTAGCTGCAGTATGTTTATATTATTTTTTGGAGTTTTATTTAATTTTAGTCAGTATTTAGTTAGTATTTAAATTAAGTGTGGATAGTATGCAGACGTGCAATATCATGTGGCGGTACATATTGCTGCAATGCATTCCAGAATCTTTCGCGTGCAAAGTGATGTCAGACCTTTGGAGTATATCAAGGCGCACCATAATACATTCACCAAGTGTATCACGGTTCCTCTGGTACTACTTTTCAAGATGACATAAGACGCCTTTACGAGCTGGAAATCTTGTGATTCTATTATCAGGCACAAATTCATTAAACTCAATCTGGACATGACACGTTTTACAAAAAAAGTGTGCTTTTTAAATTAAAATTAAGTCAACGACGCTCACGAAGAAATTTACAGAAGATTCGTTTTGAATGTTTCCATGTCAGGAAAAGAAATAAAAAAAATGATAGTTCTATGGAACGAATAATTTTTCTGTTTACACGTTATATGTCAGAAGTAATGCTGCTGGAGGTAGTTGATATGAATTAATAAAGAAATTTAAGAATGCGTAAAATTTCTTATTTCAAATACAATGTCAAGAAGGACAAGAAATGTGCATTATATGGCGTATTGCCTGAAGATTAATATTTGTTAACTGACTTATATAATGATTTTGTGATTATGGATGAATTACGTTTTCATATTTTATTTCAGATGTTACTGTATTTGTCGTGGCTTCGAACGAAACAGATGGTTACAAGAGGATCGTCAGGTCCACCGAAGTAAATGGATTTCGGGATAAGTTAGTAGTTCTTGGCCTTGGAAAACCTTGGCGTAGCGGAAGTATGAGAAAAAGTACAGGCGGTGGTCAGAAAATCAATTACCTGCGGGAAGCTCTCGAGGAAGATAAAGATGATTCGAACAAAATCATCGTGTTTACCGACAGGTAAAACATAAAACTGAGTTATACCGCTATTTAGAGTAGAGAATTTTAAATATGGATATATATATTTTTTCTAGTTATGACGTCATATTCCTTGGTTCATTGGAAGAAATCGTGGAGAGATTTAAGAAGTCCGAAGCACGAATTTTATTCTCTGCCGAGGGCCATTGTTGGCCGGATGTTTCTTTGGCTTCCGAGTATCCAAACGTGATAAGAGGAAAGCGTTACTTAAATTCTGGAGGAATTATAGGATACGCCTCAGATATTTATTCCATTTTACCGACGAATATTAACGATGACGATGACGACCAACTGTATTTCACTAAAGTATACTTGAATCCCATTCTGAGGGAAAAGCACAAGATTAAGTTGGATCACAGATCTGACATCTTCCAGAATCTCTATGGAGCAGTAGGTGAGAAAAGTACAACATGTTAAATCATTGAAGTATTACTCTTTGTAAAATGTATAAAACTGAATTGTGAGATATTTCTGTTTGCAGCCGACATCGAATTAAGGTTCAAAGGAAACGAGGGTTACATCCAGAATACGGCTTATAACACCGTACCGCTTGTTATTCATGGAAACGGACCAAGCAAAGTGGTACTGAATTCCTTGGGCAATTATTTAGCTCGCGCTTGGAGCCCAGAAGATGGCTGTTTAAATTGCTGGGATGATACCATCGAGCTTCAAAAAGACAAAACAGAAACTTATCCAGTTATAATGATCGCTATATTCATCGAGAAACCGACACCGTTCATGGAGGAATTTTTCCATGGGATTTATAAACAAGCTTATCCAAAATCGAAGTTACATCTTTTTATGCGAAATAACGTACCGTATCATGAGGAAATTGTCGAGGAATTCATTGAGAATTATGGCAACGAGTACATGAGCGTTAAACAGATCAAACCGAGTGACAACATCAGCGAAGTTGCTGCAATTAATCTGGCACTGTACGATATTTTATAATATGGTAGAGCATAGTAAATGAGATTCTTAGTTGAACATTTTTTTACAATTCTGTATATACTTAGCACGGAGTACTAATTGTAACAAAAACATTTTTGCTTAAATTTATTTTCAAGTTACTCAGAGAAAAACTTTTCAAATACTTTAAAATTATACCGAACCTACTTGAAGTCCTTATTCCAAGAAATAATTTCAATCTCTTTTTTTTAATAAAAAGATAGTTTACATTTTCAATAAATGAGGTGGAGCTAATCATTATTTTTATGTTTAGGGATAGTTGCTTACTGAAGAATTGCTCCGGGTTCTTCTTTATCTACTCGCATGCCCAGTTAACAAATGAATTTACTCTAAAGTTACTGGTTGAACAACAAAGAGGAATTGTGGCACCTTTATTAGTTCGACCATTCAAGGCTTGGAGTAACTTCTGGGGAGCCATTACTGACGATGGATTCTATGCGCGTAGTTCGGACTACATGCAAATCATACATAACGAGCGCAGGTGAGTGTGAGAAAATACCTTGACCGTAAATCGTAAAAGCCATTTTTCTAGAAAAAGCGCTTTGACTTACATTGGCGAACTGCTAACGGCAAATTATGTAAATTTCATATAACGGTTAAGATTTGTAGAAATAACAGCAGTGTGGTTACCACAACCTACTTTCAGTACCTGTAATTTATCTAAGATCTCCAGTTATCAGAATACTCATTTATGCAGATAAACAGAACAAATTCAACATAGTGTAAAGCTTTCCTATTAATTTCTACTAAACATGAAAAAGTTTCATAACTATTACAAAATATTTACTTCTTATGAAAAAGCTTATACAGTCGGGGGTGTCGAAATTATTAAACAACTCTATTTGTGCTGTTTTTAAGGCTATAATTGATTCATCCGGATACATTCAAAATTGATTGTATTGCAACGAGGTAAATCAAAGGAAACCTGCTGCTTCTTTATATTTCATTGCATTCGGTTCATAATTCTTACAAATTTTAAATTGGTTACAAGAACTTAAAGTATCTAACATACCGTTGTTGGGACTGAAAATTAAATAGATCAGTTAGACGGATTTTCATTATTAATGTTTCTTCGCTCTGTGCCCTAATTTAATCGAATGCAATGGAGAAATCGGTCTTGAAAGACCTCCTATCAATGCTATACATGTTATCGGCCGTGCACTCATATACACCAGCATCCATTTGCGTAGCTGGATCAATTTCCAATTTAGACTTCACTCTGTCTGCATCAACTTGCCACTCGTGAATCTAAAAGAACATACGTATATACAAAATTATACCAGTAAAGAAATATTATAACCGCATTTTCTTTATCTTATAGTGTAAGACTGTTTCTACATTGAGTATTGTTAATATTATTTATGGAGGCACTTACGTGGAGGTAATGATGCGTGTAGATTTCTGCACCATCTTTAAACCATGTAATGTGCGGCCGTGGACTACCTCGAGCCACACAGAGAAATGCAATTTTGTGGCCCAAAACGTATTCCAAATCAAAATGCGATGCCAATACAATTTTAGCCCCCTAAAAAAATATTTATGTAAATTTACAACATTTTTTGATTCGGCAATGCAAAATCAGAATTACACTTGAACGTGCCTAACCCGGGTTTAAACATTAATACGATGTAATAATCACAGGCTTTTTATGTTTTTGTAATTAGAATATAAAATTCAAGTGACGCGTGTACTTATTTACGTGTGATTATTAATTAACTTACGATTCATTTCAGAACGTAGATTGTAAAAATGGCATGAAATCATAGTTGAACGTTCTTGGCTCATTATGCATTTATCGAATTGATCATGCGAGCCGCTTCGTGTCATAATTACGCTAAAAGTACTTACGTTATTGTTATTATAGTACTGATCACTCTCAGGATCTCTGTATTTCCCGGTAATTGGCAATCCTATTTGCACTCTTGATTTACTTCTGCTTCTTGCACGTCCCCTCCTTCCAGAAATTTCTTGACAGTTCAGTAGCAACAATGCCAATAAAATTAATGTGACCTTTGTACGGCACATTATATTCTGTAAAAGGAAGTAAAAACAGTATTATAGTCAGGAACAGGAAGAGCAACTTTGATGGGACGAACGCTCAATGTCAGGTGTAAGTCATGTAGGATTTACGATTCTAGAAAAACGATACGTAATATGTACAAGTTAAATGCAAGCATTATTCAGTGATTTACAGACAGTATAACAATCTCAATTAAAAGGGCCTTTTGAATATTGCATAAAGTTTTGTAAAATCATTGCTCTGCGTACTTACCACGTACAGACTGCGCTCAGTAATGACACGGAACACCAATGCAGCTGACAGTCATGTACTCGTTACTCCCCTAGTGTCCTCTCCTATCTATTACAGACTTATTGCAGATTGTATCAAATGGTGCATGTATACAGGCCTCATAAATCCCTTGAAAACTTCCATCCTACCTATGCCTGTCGTCAGTTTTTAAACATGATTTCACCTCATTTCTCGTTTAACTTTACGAACATATTATTACATGCCATTGTTATTGCACTTACGTTCGTAAATTTCATAAATATGTTAAAACCTATATGACTTTTTTTAGGGGAACTACTAGAGATCTATTTCATTCCTAGGTCAATTGTTGAAAATAATTGCAAATTATTTATTTTGAGGAATTAATTCATTACATTTGGATAGTTAATTCATTATAGTTGGAACTGGTCTATTGCCCGTTCTTCCTAATGCGATAGCCCCTCCTGTAGACTAATTATGCTTCATTAAGGTGAAGTGAAACCCCCTTCAAATCAGTCGATTCGAATACAACACTTTTATTTAAGGGTATCAGACCAAACTGTCCGAAACTTTGACACATCCTGATCATCTAAGAATTGTCCTGACACATTCAAAATTTGGATTTTTTAACAAAATTTTTTACCTCAGCCCAGACCAGAACTAAAATGGCGTCGAGTTCTCATATTTCGATCAATATACAGTTATCGAAGGCTCTGATATAAGAATCGAAAGGGTCAGGACAATTTTACGACAATTTAGAACACTCTGGTAGTCGATAAACTCGCATTTGAACGGGATAAAGGCAAAAAAAGTGTTGTATGCGCTTCTATGCTAAAAGGATGGGAATACGAGTTCTCGGAGTGAAAATTTAATTGACCTGGAAATCACAGATGGCGCAGGGGGTCCGTCTGCAGCCAATTAGGGGTCCAGAAAGCATGAATCCAGAGGATTTCTGGAGTTTTACTTCGATTTCTTTATATTTATTGTACGAAAACGACAGGTGGAGTATGCCATTTGGTACAATATCCAATATAATTCGACACAGCTGTCAATATAAAAACGAACGTCAGGAACGTAGGCATTTAGGAAAATCTTCTTTATCGACGTCGAACAAGTTCCTCGACGTGTTTCACTTCACCTTAACAACGAGATGAGGGGGTCTATATTAAGTTTTATGTTGGGTTACCATAAACATGCATGGAGTGTTGAGGAAGAAAAAAAACAACTGATTTCGTGGAAATGTGCATAAGAATTATACTTTTCAAATTGAACTATGAATAGGGGTCCACTTGTGTGTATATATTTAGAAATGATTAACATTTTCAGCCTTGCAGGCATACATTACTATTATAATTTTCTTTACAATTTTTTCGTTATAATTCTTCAAAACAGGCTAATAAAATTTTAATAGAATTTCATAAAATGTTTGAAGATTTCAAACTCACCCTGTCAGATAAATCTACATACGAGCATCTAAATTTTTTTTTTATTTTAAAGGCATAAATTCAGTATGATGATCACATTACCATCGTACATGAAATATTTAGAATGCAATATTATTCTTTTAAAATTCATCATTCTTAATGAAAGTGTGAAGATTTGCGTGATAATTATTTTTATTGCTCGAAGAAAAACCTTTCAAATTGGTTTAATTACGTCTCTTTATGTGATACAGCCTGTAAACAATTATTTTCCACATAATGTCATTTGTTCATTATTTGCCTTTAAACTCTTAATTAATTCAAATACCGTTTAGTCTAAAAAGTGCATTATCTGTTTCCAAAATTAATTTCCACGTTTCGATGAAAACAAGAAGCACATCATATTGAAACAAATCTAATATTTCTTTATATACTTGAAGTCATTACGGATGGAAATTTATATGTAATGGAAATGAAGAAAATCTACTTAAAAATAATATATTCATGTTGAAATGATTCAAACTCATGGCTCTGTAATTTGTTCGGTTTGTTCAAAAATATGATTTTCCAGTACAGTTAACATTTATAAAAAAGAAAACAATGAAACTTATTAGTAGTACAAAGTTTAATCAGTCTTGCAAAATAGAACATTTTGAATAACATTAATGCGGCAGTTGAGAATGGTGTAAAAGTGTAATCATATTTGGCAAAGATAGTGAAAGCTTAGCAATCCATGATGCAGATAGTTACATGTAAAATATTTTACACAATGATATGTCAAGATATGTCATTTCTAATATCTAAGTACTAATATAAATTCAAATGTGAACGACGTGTAATTATATTCGGTTGAAATGGAGTTGGTTGTCTTGTGTTGATAGTTTGAATCGATATAACTCGATTTCAAGGAATGATTAATAAGAGATCATAACATAATCCGTTCTGAAGCCACGTCTGTCAACTGAATATTGATTGTCAGCTTGGCACTCATAATATCCGGCATCTTTTTGCGTAGCCGGGTCGATTTCCATTTTTGATTTAACCGTGTCGTTGCCAAGAGGCCATTCATGCACCTGGAAATAAATCACGCTTGTTTATTCCCTGATATATTTATTAAGATCTATATTAACTATATTAATTAATGGATAAAGCAGTGAAAGTTGACTCTTTGTCTAAGACAATTATAAGTTAAATTAATCATGTATCTGAAAGTGTTTAAATTGTTGGCTCAAATGAAATCAGCTGAGCAATATATTTCACAAATGTAAAAGCTACACTTGATATAAAAATCTAAGATTTTTTGGAAAATACCTGGAAAAACTTATGATGATACAGCTCGATGCCATCTTTGAACCATGTAATCTCAGGTCTTGGGTACCCTCTAGCCATACAGAAGAAGGTAATTTTTCTTCCAAGCATGTACTCTAATTCAAAGTGCGATGCTTTAACTATTTTGGCACCCTGAACAATAATACAGATTAGACAGAGGAATCAGTAGTGTTATATTTGGTTTATATATTTGCCATATTTTTAACCGGCTTCAAAAAAAGAAGAAGCTTCTCAATTAGATCGGTATATATTTTTCTTTTTGTATATTCACATATAATTTTTTCCCAGGTTAATCGATTTTGATGATCATCATCATCATGATTAGATCATAAAATCCGAAGATAGAGAACGGAAATCATGTACGGTTGTCAGTAAAAACACCGTGATTGGGTTATTTTTTTTTTTAACCGACATCTTTTATTTGATATATAATCAAAATTAAAACTTGAAAACCATAATGAGAGTAGTAACAACTGAAAATCGAAAAATAAAAACTTTTCAATAAAAAAGAACCGACTTCAAGAGGCATCGGAAAGTAAAAAATAATGATGTACAAAGTACTTATCCACTAACTATTATAGATTTCTAAGTATCTTTAATTTGGAAAGTTTGAAGTCGACGTACAAAAAAAGAAACAAAAGGAAACGGAATATAACATTGAAAACACTGACACACTTCGTTTCTTTTTTTTGCGCTGACTTCAAACTTTCCAAACTATAAATATTAGAAGTCTACGGTGGATAGTGAATAAGTAGTTCGTACATAATTATTTTTTACTTTTTTGAAATCGGTTTTTTATTTAAAAAATAGTGTATACTCGTCTTATTGTAAAAGAAAGTCATGACCGTATTGTACGTATAGTATTTATACGTACTCATATACTCACGTCTTTGTTTTCATAATATTTTGCACTAGCAGGATTTCTATGTGGAATTAAAATTGGCATTCGGGATCCGTACAACCTTCCTCTTCCGCGTCCTCGACCTCCTCTTGCACCTCCACCTTTTGCAGCATCCGTATCAATGCAGATCATGATCAGTAAAAGAAAAAAATATAGGAAGAGATGTACTCTCATTTGACCTGTGGAGACAATATTTTGTACACTGATATTTCTCTTCTAGTAATCACACTCGATTATTGCGCGTTTATTACTTACTATTTGCACACATGAAAAATAGATACATTGTGGGTAAAAGATCTCTATGTATACTCGCATAATACTTGCTAAAAGAATAGGCCACAAGGAACGTTGGTTATTTCACTAGACAAATGGAAAAGTATGATAGTTGTTAGATTTTCTTCTACAATTTTTTTTTTCCGTCACTGTGTAATTATCAACCATTATTTAAGCATTCACGCTTATTAATGAATTGAAACATTCCGATGAGAATTGCTCGATGGAAGGAGGAAATACGAGCCTTTGGTTTGTTAAAAAATAAATTCTGTTATAAATATTACTATGCATAAAAGTATGTTTACATGTTTGTTTTTGTCACCATTGATATTGTTTTCATACGGTTCGAAACGTCGTGAGCGGACATGGCTACTCTTGCTTCAAGTACTTTCTAAATCCGTGTCACGGGTCATTGTTTAATTAAATAATAATTGAATAGAAGTTTCTCACCAAGAAATTGTAAGTTACTTCCCTCGCCTTTTGTCGCAGTACATGTTTGTTTTTGTCACCATTGATATTGTTTTCATACGGTTCGAAACGTCGTGAGCGGACATGGCTACTCTTGCTTCAAGTACTTTCTAAATCCGTGTCACGGGTCATTGTTTAATTAAATAATAATTGAATAGAAGTTTCTCACCAAAAAATTGTAAGTTACTTCCGTCGTCTTTTGTCGCAGTAGAGCACAGATGTGTCCGGCCTTACAGCCTAAAATATGAATGGACCAGAGCCGATAGAAACGTAGTCTCCGGTGACAGAGTTATGAATCTCAATTGGATAATTATGCATAAGCCATTCCCGGTATGGCCATCGGCCAATCACGGCACCACAGTTGTCTCCTGCCAAAACATTAAACAATTACCGGGGAAAAACAATGTCATTTTTAAGGAGCGTGTCCCAGAAGTGACGATAACACTCGACCCTGGCGCTTTGTATTTGCTGGAACTCGGCAGGAAACTATCTCACAAATACTAATTAAATCCTTCAACATTATCTGCATATGCCGAAATAATAAGAATATGGAAAATTAGTTATTATGTGATAAATTATAGGATACACGTGTAGAATATGTTTGTTGTTCTCCATAAAACATGACTTCTATATTACTTTATCACGTTGCACATGGCAGATATGCATAAATGATGATTTCTCTTCTGCAGATTATTTACTAATAGTACTGTAGTTTTTCTTCTCTTACATGTATGTAAAGAATATTGAAAGTTTTTAATAATATAGTAACTTATGCAAATTCTAAACATCGGAATCAAGTAATCTATATCTACCGTCGAACAATATCTTCTAGTTTATACTTGTAATAAATTGAAAGCATTCTCGTTGTACGTTCATTTAAATTCGTCAAGTATTCCGTTTAATCCATTAAATATTGAAGCTTCGCCAAAGGAAAATGATTTTTCGTAAATATTGTTGTATTTATTTCAGAGGTTTATGGAACGTGCCGTTTGTTACCGATTGTTACCTGATCAATTCCACATTAATCAAGAACAAAGCAACCCGGCCTTCATATACCGAAGACGATTTGGACAGTGAAATGTCTTTCGCACATGCAAACAGAGAAAGAGGGATTTTTATGTACGTCAGTAACAGGCTGGAATTTGGACATCTCGTTAGTACCGACAATTATGACATCAAGTTGACGCATCCTGACTTTTACCAGATCTTCGATAATAAATTAAACTGGGAGAAGAGATACATTCACGAAAATTACAGTGATAGCTTTGCCCCGAATAAGACGCACATCCAGGTAATTGTAATCTACTTCGCATTATCCTTGCAAGACTATAAAGTGACTCTAAATCTGGATTCACGACAATGTAATGTGTAATTATCGTAAAAACAATCATTTTTATTTTATAAAATGCGTACAAAACATTTTTCCAGCCATGCCCAGACGTGTACTGGTTCCCTATCGCGAGTCCCAGGTTTATTAAAGAGTTGGTAGAAATTGTGGAAACATTTGGGAAATGGTCCGATGGCACGAATCACGTAAGTCATATAGTTTACTTTATTTTCCAAAAGTGTATGCACATTATGTGACGGATTTGCTAGGTATTTTCTTATCTAAAGAAGTCTATTTCACTGAAAATTTCATTTAAGGTGAAGTGAAACCCCCTTCAAAACAGTCGATTCGAATACAACACTTGTTTTTAAGGGTATTAGACCAAACTGTCCGAAACTTTGACACATCACTCCTGATCATCTAAGAATTGTCCTGACATATTCAAAATGTGGATTTTTTTTTAAATTTTTTAACTCAGCCCAAACCAGAACTAAAATGACGTCCAGCTCTCATATTTCGATCAATATGCAATTATCGAAGGCTCTGATATGAGAATCGAAAGGGTCAGGACAATTTTACGACAATTTATAACAGTCTGGTAATCGATAAACTCGCATTTGAGCAGGATAAAGGCAAAAAAAGTGTCGTATGTGCTTCTATGCTAAAACGATGGGAATACGAGGTCTCAGGGTGAAAATTTAATTGACTTGGAAATCACAGATGGCGCAGGAGGTCCCTCTGCAGTCAATTAGGGCCTCAGAAAGCACGAATTCAGAGGATTTCTGGAGTTTTACTTCGATTTCTTTATAATTATTGTACGAAAACAACAGGTGGAGTATGCCATTTGGTACAATATAATTATACTCAATACTCAATATAATTCGACACAGCTGTCAATATAAAAACGAACGCCGGCAACGTAGGCATTTAGAAAAATCTTCTTTATCGACGTTGATCAAGTTCCTCGACGTGTTTCACTTCACCTTAAGTAATAGAGAACTCCATTTATTACCCTCGAAAGACATCTCCTTGGTTCCATGAAATCAACTGGACCCAAATCAATGTTTCTCGGCTGTGAGAGAGGGAGAGTTACCCCATTCTGTATTTATTTAATTCATTCACTTGCTCCGGAAAATTATTCAGTGAAAAATTGGTAATGGCTTTCTAGAAGTAAGAAATATCTAAATAGTTACTAGCGGTATAAAATAACAACGTTTATCTGCAGGACCCCAGATTAGCAGGTGGTTATGAAAATGTACCCACTCGCGATATTCATATGACTCAAGTTAACTATGAGCAGCAGTGGCTGTACTTCTTAAAGGAGTACGTCAGACCTCTGCAGGAGCTCGTCTTCACAGGCTACTTCCACGATGTAAGATTTTACTTTATTAATACCTGTCACGTATTTTTAGGACCCACGACTTGAAGGCGGTTACGAGGCTGTACCCACAAGGGACATACACATGACCCAAGTCGGTCTAGACGAGTCTTGGTTAGAGTTTCTTAAAGAATATGTCAATCCCTTGCAGGAAGCAGTATTTACAGGATACGCCGAATATGTAAGCGTTAGGATATTAGAAAAAATTGGGGAAGGAAGTATTTTGAATTTGCTTTAAACGGTGGCCAGCTGGTAGCATAGGCTTCAACGATCCCACACGCTCGTAATATAAATTTTTATACAGAGCACCAGTAATACGTGTAAATAAGTACTTGTACATAGTACTCGTATAACTATACCGAATTTATAATGTTAATAAACCCTGTTCACTCGGAATATCAGTCGATTTTCCGAGATACTGTGGTAGCACGAGTATTTCGGCAATATTAACAAAACGTAAAACGTTAAATATGCAATCAATTCAGTGGTATTTCGATTCTTTTTGTTGGATTTTTCTCCTCTTTTTCTTTGAGTGACATTGTTAAAAGAGTTGTCTTTAGGTCAATTTAATTGAATCAGAATACTTAAATTGAATACAATGAAACCATTGTAACAAAAAAGGATTAATTCGATTTTGTGAAACTATTTTATTATATATCATATGCATAAAGTAAAACGTATCTTAGGGTATATTTGAAGCGAAACTCTACCGAGTTTCCTGATTTATTTTTATTATATAGGCAGGCACATTTTTCATTTCATTTTAATATTAATTTTTAATTACATTAGTAACATCAGGTGTATGCAAATGACAAGAATTTATTCTGAAACGTAATAGAAAGCAGTATTAATACTGCATTTAGCGACTTTATAGTACGTTAGTATGTATTTAATATATTCGTTACTATAATGGTGTAATTATGTTTGTCGTATGAGTTGTATTGGGTTTTGATTAGGATTACAAAATAATACCGAAATTTAGAAGATGAAATTTCCCTTAGATATTGTATTATATATTTTTTATTTTTCATTATTTATACAATTCAATGCCATTGTTCTCGTGGAATTAATTTGAGAGATTTCTTCAAAGCGTTCTAAGTTTTTTTTTTCTTAATACGTTGAACAGCCCTAATTTATTTTCTTTACAAAATGATGTGCAACGATAAGCACCATATATTATAAATGACATCAAATTGTGTTTAACGATTCAAGTTATAGTTTGAATTAGCAAATTCAGTTAGCTGATTTGTCTGATAATGGTCCTGGAAACTGTATATACATTCCCACTACGTAGACGTTATATATACTGTTTACCAAACATTTGTATTAATTTTTTATTCTAATATTGATCTTTTTCTTCAGCCTCCTAGGTCATTGATGAATTTCGTCGTAAGATATCGACCCGATGAACAACCTTCGTTGAAACCACATCATGATTCTTCAACGTACACAATTAATATTGCTTTGAATCAAATCGGAGTTGATTATGAGGGTGGTGGATGCAGATTTATTCGATATAACTGCTCCGTCACTGATACGAAAGCAGGATGGATGTTAATGCACCCTGGACGTTTGACTCACTATCATGAAGGTTTGCTGGTTACTAAAGGCACAAGGTATATAATGATTTCCTTCGTTGACCCCTAATAATTAATGAATTTAGGAGAGACGAGTACTGAAACTAAATGTTAGGTCAACGTCATAAACTCGAGTATTGTAAACGCGCAATGATCCCCGTTAGGTTTAAGTTAATTGTTCGTAATCGCTGTAGGTAATGGCAATCGCGATTGTTTATACAAATATCAGATATATAAGGGTCACATTGTCATCGAAACTAAACGACTATACTCTTCATTACTATTTTTATATTTAAATATATTTTATGCGGTTATGTGAATCATATGTATTCTCTTAGGAACTGTGACAATTAATAACTGTAAATATATATACTTGTTAATAATAAATAATAACTGTAATAGTAAGTTATTGGTTAATTTTGAGGAATGTACACCTCTTTAAAGTACTTCCAATGCTTATAACTTTATAAGCAAGAAGAAACGTTTTTGTACGAGTTGTAACACGGAGAAAAAATGAAATAAAACTTGGTACGAGCAGAACTGTATATAACAGCTTGACAGTAACGTTGTGTATAAATATTTCGGTATATTTTCAGGTATTGTAATATCGTACAGTTATGTACTTCTAATGTATAAAGTAAATACAAGGTGGCAATATTAAAAACTTGTATCGTCAACATTAAGTTCTACCTTGGAGTCTAGTTTACGTTTACTCGGTAATTACAATTGCTTACGACTTTTATTTTCAACATTTTCAAGTACTGAAATTGGAAGCTTATGAATATCTGCTCGAGGTAGCATAGATTGAAAAGCATTTTTCTAGTGACACGTTTGAAGCTTACTGCATTTATCTAGTCCCTAATGCAAGCGGTAAGAACGCTACAAATAATGTCGCCTTCTTAACAGAAAAGAAAACTTTTAATTTGATAAGTAACGAGTATTAGTTTCATAGGAAAATAAATATATCGGATTCACGATTAAGAAGTGCTCATAAATTTGAACCTATGAAAGTGCAGATCTTTAAAATTATTGGGATTCTGAACTCATTACGGCCACCTTCGATCTCTTTCCCTCAAAACCAATTTCCCATGGAGTACTCACAGTGTGACATTAGAGCACCCATAATAAAACCTCAAGAATTCCTTTACAAAACATTAACCACTACTTTACAATAGTAGGAACATCCATAGGATAGATTCGTATAGTCTAAGTAACCGCATCATCACACTGTAAACATTTAAAAATTGATTTAATTAGATATCCTATGTATTTTATTTACATAGTAAAAAAGTGTCTCTTAGAAATTGAGAACACGACATACCTCACAGCGCATCGACAGCATAAATAATTCTTACAGTTTCTATTTGACATTTCTATACATTGACAAGTATGTTTCAAATTAATTTGATTCTTATGTGATGTATTCTTTCTTCCATTACTGGATATGCTAAGGAAATCTTACAATTTCAACTGCGAATATAACAAACATTTGATAAAAAATAATATTGCCACATGCCACATTGAATTTGAAACATATGTTTAAAAAAAATCTGTAGTATGCTGTTCTGCTTGTGCTTAAATACTATTTAAAAACTATAAATTCATGTACAAAAAATAATAACTATGCTAGATGACTGGAATGTAATTTGACGGAAACAGAAGCTCAAATCTTTTTTAAAATCTTTATACCTCGCGTACGTTCGTTAAACTATTAAACAAGAATCATACAGTTTCTTAATTGTCGCTTGATCAAATTAATTTGAAACTTAGAAATGACGCCACTATCATCTTTTTAATACATATTAATACCATATAATGTTCACATGAGCACGTTTATTTTTCGGTAGCGAAAATTTCTGAGGCATGTACCGTCGACAAATGCCGAGACAATTTAATTCGTAATATTATTTAATTTAACTAAAAGTTATTTACACTTTGTTCGGCTTTCATAGAAATATGAATTGCGACGATTCAGTAGCCTGCCCGTTTTAATTCGTTCAACTGATGTGCCAATTTTTCCTCCTTGGTTCTTCTTGCTTGACCTAACTTTCGACACTCAATATACGTACTTAAGAAACGTTCAACGTCAATTTTTCTATCAAGAAAGTCCTCAGCTATGCTTTCACTTTTTTCATGGCTCTCATCTGCTGCTTGCTTAAGGCATTCTTTAATATGATCAGGTGCAAATACTTCAGATAACTTATTATACCGTTGTATCAGCTTGTCATAACGAGCTTTTAGTATAGCAACCGTGTCCACTTTCTCTGCAACATCTTCTCGCAATTGCCTAAGTTCAGATTCTTTGGTAAGATTTGCCACTGAAAGAAAAGATATTTTTAATGAATTAATTATGTTACCTCAAAAGTTCAAAATTAATGGAATAAACCTGAATCTTCGATTATATAAATCTCATTTACCGGCTGTTTTTTCTACCCAATCCATTGTATCTTCTATCGCAGTATTAATTTCCTTTAACTGTGTATGCTTTTCCAAAAATTCATCTAATCTATCTTCGTCTCCATTGAGCTTTTTCAGTTCTTCAATGCTCAATTTATTAAGTTCTGGAAACACTAAGCTCTGTGGCGTTTTAGTCTGTGTTTGACCTTGTGTTGATGTTCCATAACCGGGACTTGTGTACTGAGAATTCAAATATGTAGCAGCATGTTGATTCGATGAATAATGCATGGAATTTGTTGTGTGTAAAGAACTGCTTGAGCTCGCATTGTACCCAGGATGATGTGATGTACTAGGGAATAGTTTCGTATAGCTGTCTGAAACGTATGTATTACCCGTGCTAGTATAGTTGTAATCATACGCATTACTAGTGGAGTTCAAAGCTGGTGATTGCGGGAACTGAGCATTATAGTATAAGTTAAATGATGTCGATGGGAGATCAGTATATTGTTGTAAAGTATAAGATGGAGAGGCTCTTCCTTGTACATCTATAATAGAATACAATTCATTAACAGGATAGTTTCTGTCATTTCTATTAGTCAAAGTTAATTAAGGAATGCAGCTACCTCGTAATGGTACAGCGGATGATGGAGAACTGTCTTCTAATAATTGAGGTGGATTTCTACTAAATTCCCTGACGATAACTTGTACAACTCGCCCAAGATCACTATGCACTGTAAACTAATACAGATTGGATCGTTAATAAACAAAATACACATTTTTTTAGCATTCAGTATCACTAATGTCTAGATATTACAATTATTAACTTACATGTAGCAGACCTGGAGCACTAACGATTTCACTGTGTTCATTACACCAGGGATGTTTTATCGGCGGTGAAACTCTTAGAACTGGCTTTTCCAATGGAAACTCAGGGGATAGCGAAACCAAAATAGCCATTCTCCGGTCCCCAGCATCAAACAAAACTTGATATTCCACATCTTCCCGCAACTCCACAACACTAGGGCATATATAAAAACTCAGAACAATGTAACTTCTTCGAATCATTGTTATACATTTTTTTTACTGTTTTCCAGGATGAAAATATAATAAAATAAATATTAAATCACTAATTCATAAAAGAACTATCGGACATAGGAAAGCTTTATAATTGGCTTAACTCGATTACAAGATCTATAGTTTTCCACAACACTGAAGTCCACTGATGGCCTACAATACTAAAGTTGAAATTTGTATTGTAACCAATAATGGATTATATAGAAATGTCATATATTTATTTAAAACGAATAAGAATTTATTGATATTAAAGAGAAACGTTAATGACCAGTCGGTCAATATTAACAAGATGTTACATCGTGATCCCACGAGTTATAAACGTAAATAAGTGAGGTTAAGTGGAGGTTACATGTATGGAAAATGTCTTACTTCTCGTTGAAAATTTTCAATGTATCGATCTGTCTTTTTCTTTTAACGGCGGCATTCTCATTTTCTCCTCGGAATATTCGTGATATCATTTAAATGCCTTAATTTTGGATAAATCATTCGCTTATCCGTCAAGCTCCCTGTCAAAGCAACCATCCAGCAGAACAGCTGTTCAACTTTGCTGAACTTTGCTTACTTCACGCAGGAAGTCAAAAGGTGCGCATGCTCCTACGTTCGATTTTTAGGTATGTTCTTATTTCATTTGTATAGTGAAAACATAAGATTAGTTACTATCAAACGGCACTTCAGTCGGACACCTGATTTGGTTTTATTTCATAGCACATATATCTATTTGAACCTAAATTATTAACAAAGGAATGGAACCTGTGTTCTGCAGGATTTCCTTTATTCACTATGTAACCGTTTATTTAATGGTGGATGTTTACTCATATGTGACGTACTTTACGTAAAAAGGTGATTTATTTGAAAATAGATAACTTACAATGCCACAGTAATGTTACATGAAAAATTGCACGAATCCTACAACAAAAGGATTTCATTTATTCACATAACTATTTATTGTCCAGTGTCGTATTTAGGTTATAGGGCACAGCGTTCTTTACGTTTTATGTTCCCCAGAAGTTTCTGCTAATGTTCGATATTACAGATTTCCTTTGAAAAGAAAGCAGTTTTTAATGTATTATTTTTAATGTTTATTTAATTACATCGAGCTTGGGAATACGGATAAATGTGCAATACGTCCAGACTCCGCATCCTCGGATCGCAGGTCGTCGTTTTGCTAGCTTTTGATTCTCGTCGCGGAGTAATTTTTTCTTTTTAAATTCGATTAATCAGGGGATTGCCAAGCGTTCGAGACGTAGGGGGCTCTGCCCGAAGAGACTGCAAGTGTCGAAGAGGCTATATGCCGAAGCGGCCCCTTAAGAAGAGGGCAACTATGATGGCCTTCCATTCTTTCGAATGGGCAGTCATCCATTTTTTTCGCCACGTTGTCCCTCTCATTTTTTGTATGTCCTTCTGTCTGGATTGACGGGGAGAGACGGTGAACTATCGTTTTCATGAGATTTTCTCGAGTTTGCATTTAAGTAAGATATATATATTAGATTTTTGTCATGCCAAGTAATGTATAATTGAATACATTTTTACTGGGTCAATTATACGAGATCGATGCCCTGCGAAATATTCTTGACTTTAATGGTAACTTTAGTAAGTTATTAGCTCTTGTATCGCCGTCTCTTTCTCGCTTTCCAATGGTTTCGTTCGTGCCTTCGTGTTCCTTTTCAGCTATAGGTGAGCCACTTCAGAGAATCTGGCGACTTCCTGGTGTTTCTTCAATGTTCTGTTTTACCTGTACTTTTGTGTCCCTTTGCAGGTTTAGGTGGATCACCTGGAAGCAGCCATTTTTGGTAAAATCATCATGGGCAGTTAATCGAAATCGAGCTTGCTGCACTTGTTGGTAGAAGATGTTAAAATATGTTAAAGGATATTCGTGCATTTTTTTCGCGATGGGAACTGCGTCCACGGTAGCTTGATGGGGAAGGTTGTTCCGTTTAAATTGATCTCTCGAGCTAGTGGCTGTGATTTTTTTCGGAGGAGACACAGGGTTTGGAGTTTTTGTGAGGAGTTCATCACTTTTTAGCTTGATGGGGAAGGTTGTTCTGCTTAAATTGATCTCTCGAGCTAGTGGCTGCGATTTTTATCGGAGGAGATACAGGGTTTTGGAGTTTTTGTGAGTTCATCGCTTTTTCAGCCGGTTCTCGGGCTGCTCAGAGTTGTAACAGGTGGCAAGTGCATTAGCCATCTGCATCCTCCACCGGAGGTCGCACAGGACGCGGTCGCTCGATCCTTCCCGTGAATCTCTCAACTCATCTCTGATTTGGCAGAGATGAGTTGGGAGATTGCCATAATGGTAAGCCACCGCCGTTTAATATAAAATTTCTAACTGGATTTATTATTTTCTATTCAGAACTAGAAAGGTGTAATATACTTCACACTCGTATAGAAAATTAGGGACGTATTATATATTGTAATATACGTGTAGAAAACCACGTATATTACATGACGTATTATACCTACCCAACCCTGCGAGCGTCTAGTTTGCTATATTAAATATTTTCAAATTGGTATAGAGTATAGTGGATGGCTCTAAAAAATTGGAAAAAAATTGCAGGCTCTACAAAACGGAATGTACTTTATTATGCCAAACATGGGTCCCTGATAAGTTCTCTTATTTGAGAAATAAATATTTATCGAATTGATGTGCCGAATTTCGGCGTTAAGTATTCGGTGCCGTTTGCGCATGCTTTTAAATGTATTTGGCGCGAAACTCTGCCGAGTTTCCTTATATTTCAGTGGGAGGGAGTCCTATGACAATCTAGTTCTACGACAAAAGAAATGAATTTTGAAAGAGACTGCATAATATTTTTACTATTAAATAAGGATGTTTACTTCGACGAAATATATAAACTATCACTATTGAAGAATTAGTATTTAATTAAATTGTTTTATAATAATATCAATATAACAGCCGTATCAAATAATATTAGACGATTTCATAGTAATTGTGTACTATTGTAAATGCATAATACAATTTTCCCGTTACTAGGCAATTAACTTATTTTGAAAACGGCGGTAACGAGAATTTCAACGCAATTTGTTAATGCTGTATTAATGACAATTTTAACGCTGTTTGTTAATAATATGGTCTACAAAGATGCATTGTTACTGCGTAATATCAAATTCTTTTTTTTTCTTAAATATGTAGTTATGTCAACGACTACCGAACCTTGAATGGGGCACCTGTAAATTTCTCAACTGGTACGCCTTTGTTGAGGTGGCGAAGTTTAAGTTCATTTTTTATGAAATCGCAGCCAGCTCTAGGGAAGTAAAGTCTTGGATCTGTCGTTCTCGGTACGAGAGGGTCAGTGAACCAGCCGTAACTAAATATTGTATTAATTTCCATAATTATCTATGCGTTCATGGTAATTAGATGAGGTAAAAATGTCATTGCGTTTGAAGAGCTATACTCTAAATAAATTAAAATATAGGCGCGAGGCCGCCACGCGGGTTGAAAGTAAAAGTTCTAAGTCAATAATTAAAAGACATTAATCATTCTTAATTATTCTATGACGAAATGCCTTCCTTTCCTTCGGTACTGATTTGGGCATAATTATTTTTATTTTCTATTTGTAGTAGTATTATATCACTTTAAATATCAACTATTATCTGAGATAATAACGTACTAACGCGAACGAAAATGTTTGCAAACATTGTTTCAATACTAAAACATAATGATGAATATAAATACAAAAGAAAAAAAGATTTGGGATGAGATAATAAAAATGAGCGGCGATTTTTATGTCAATTTCACTAAGACAGAAGCACAGCTGTTGACTTTTTATACTACAAATGAAGTTAAACAATATTGAAGAAAACGTTTACGCAATTTGCGCGAATACTAAAATGTAAGGATAAATGTAAATAGCAATTGACATTAAAAAGAAACTTTTTACTTTCTGAAACGGGCCTTTTTCATGATATGCAAAACGTACTACTACATCATAAGAAGTTTCAATTGATTAATATTTTTAAATATTACTGATATGCCGGACTTTTACACGCTTCAAAGAAGCAAACCATATTCAAGTATAATGCTTGCAAACCAAGATTACAATAAAAAAAATATACATTTTAGGTGCACAAGGTTTCAGATTAACACGTTACGCATCGTTATACATTTTGCTGTTTATCTAAAACAATGCATAAAGTACATAACGTATTAATACAGTTCAACAATGGCATTACCAGTGGTTTCACTATTTGTTTACTTTATTTTTTGGTCTCTTACTCCATATTAACAGTCGGAGGACGAAAATTGTAAATATCCTTTGGTGTCAAGGTTGCACTTCTTGCAATGATTTTAATATATTCTAAAGGTATCTCCTCGGTAGGTATAATATCATGTTTTGCGTAGAACTTTGTTGCAACCGATTTCGAGCTTGGCATCGGTATGAATTCTTCCACGAATTTAATATTTTCATTTTCCTTTTCATACCTTTCCAGGTAGAAGCGCAACTTTATAGGGTCCATAGTTCCCGATGTTACGACAATTTAAGACACTAAATTTACCAAAGACTTGACGTAAATTAACTCAGAGAAAATGTAAGACGCGTGTCACGGCCGGAAAAAAAAAGAAAGGCTACGTATCTGCGTTATCTTCTGTTTCTGTTCCGTAATTATTATTACATCATCTGCTTCCAAACCAATTTGTCCGTAATTAAAATTACAGATTTATATCCACTTGCGCGTCTGAACAGTGATTTAAGCCGCCGGGTTTAAAATTCTACTTTCTAAGGTGAAATGAAACACGTCGAGGAACTTGATCGACGACGATAAAGAAGATTTTTCTAAATGCCTACGTTGCCGACGTTCGTTTTTATATTGACAGCTGTGTCGAATTATATTGGATATTGTACCAAATGGCGTAACCTGTCGTTTTCGTAGAATAAATATCAAGAAATCGAAGTAAAACTCCAGAAATCCTCTGGATGTATGCTTTCTGAGGCCCTAATTGACTGCAGAGGGACACCCCGCGCCATCTGTGATTTCAGGTCAATTAAATTTTCACTCCGAGACCTCGTATTCCCATCGTTTTAGCATACAAGCGCATACAATACTTTTTTGCCTTTATCCCGCTCAAATGCGAGTTTATCGATTACCAGGGTGTTCTAAATTGTCGTAAAATTTTCCTCACCCTTTTTTCGTAGAATAAATATCAAGAAATCGAAGTGAAACTCCAGAAATCCTCTGGATACATGCTTTTTGGGGCCCTAATTGACTGCGGACGGACCCCCTGCGCCATCTGTGATTTCAGGTCAATTAAATTTTCACTCCGAGACCTCGTATTCCCATCGTTTTAGCATAGAAGCGCATACGGTACTTTTTTTGCCTTTATCCCGCTCAAATGCGAGTTTATCGATTACCAGAGTGTTATAAATTGTTGTAAAATTGTCCTGACCCTTTCGTTTCTCATATCAGAGCCTTCGATAATTGCATATTGATCGAAATATGAGAGCTCGACGCCATTCTGTTTCTGGTCCGGGCTAAGTTAAAAAATGTTTTCCAAAAATCCAAATTTTGAATGTGTCAGGACAATCCTTAGACGATCAGAAGTGATGTGTCAGAGTTTCGGACAGTTTGGTCTAATACCCTTAAAAAAAAGTGTTGTATTCGAATTGACTGATTTGAAGGGGGTTTCACTTCACCTTAATGCTAATTCTGTGATTTTCAGGGTCTAAGGAGAGACAAGTTACACAACGGCATTGCGAACTCTGGCACTTTATTTTAAAATATGTATATCGATAGAAAAACACGTACATAACATGCGAAGAACCATCGGTGGATCGGTGAGAGGATCTTAAATAACAAAGGGAAGAGAGACTTTAGTCAACCGAGAGAACTCCTCTTAGGCCGCTGACTCTCACCGAACCTACCCGAAAAGTCATTTAGGTTACTAACAAGGCAATATTTTTGTTGCGGAGGAACTAAAGCTCTGCTCGTTGTTGATTTCAAGAGCCTAGTGAGTGCGTTCCGAAACTTAGGCTGCGAACATGCTGAGAGACTCACAGGGAAGCTGCGACCTGACACGACGCACACCTTACATAAACGGCCAATTAAATGCGTATGTATGTGCGTAAACAACCTGTATAATATAATATTACAAAATTGATGCATGTGCTTAAGTTTGCTTTTCAGCTTCGTCCACTTTGACTTCTTCCGACAAACGCACAGATTGCCTTTAAATGTACTCGCTCGAAAGTACACCCGTAAAGGCCATAAAATTATTACTAATTAATTGACGCAAAGGGAATCGCTTGTACTTTACCGAGGACGCTAGTAACGATTACTGTAAAATCTTGCGAAATCTTACTTGGCCCATCGAACTTATAGTATAATTGAGCCGTTTATTTTGAAAGTGGCCTAAGTCCATTTGTCAATTATTTTCGGTTGCCCGTAGTTACACGTACAACTTGAAGCTATCTAACAATAAAGCATTTGAGGTTAATTCTATTCCGAGTAAATACGATAATTTTGGACACATAAGTTTTCAGAGTTAGTTCAATAATTAAAACCATCATTTTGAAAGTGGCCTAAGTCCAATCTATATGTACGTTATAAATTTGGGTATTCACAATTTTCATAACGATAATGTTCACATGTACGTTTGGGATGAAATTATTGCATCAAGAGGTGCTCAAGAAATAGCTTCATGCGTCCTAAAACATGTTAAAAATTTAAGAAGTGAAAGACACGTTATAGCTTACAGTGACGTGTGCAGGACAAAATAGAAACATTAAAGTAGCTTTAATGTAGCTAAAAATTGTCCAAACCGTTGAACATAATGTGGAAATCATAGATCATACATTTTTAATATCAGGACATTCGTTTTTACCAAATGATAGAGATTTTGGCGTGGGAGAAATGTCATTAAGAAAAAAATAATTTACTGTTTGTCCCCCAAGATTATTATAATATTATCAAAATTTGCCGGAGAGGCAATAACTTTATTCTAAATGAAATGAAACAAGAGGATTCTGTATCAACAAAATGATTAGAAGACGCAATTTTTAAAAGGGTAAAGAATTCTAACGGAGAATCAATAAACTGGTTAAAAATATGTTGGATGCGTTTTGTCAGAAATTAACCATAGAAAATTTTCTGTAAGACATCAATGAATGAGAATGAAAATTTTAAAGTCCTGGTTTTATTATCACGTCGGGGTAGACCAAGAAAGTTCGAAAATATTGTATTGACACCACTTTATAAAAATATAAGACAAATTACAACAGCGAAATTCGAGAACATAATGAACCTACTACGAAATATACCACCGGAATATCATGACTTCTTCAAATCCCTTTCACATACACAAAATGTAGACGAGCAGTGAATTGTTTTGTAATTTATGTAGTTAAAAAATGTTCCGAATTGCATAAATATTGTTTTCGAAGTGTTGCAAAGAAATATAAAATAATTTGAGTATTGTTTTTTTCAGTTTGAAGTATTTTAAATTATGTTGAATGTACTTGGGCTCTTTCAAATTTTATAATGAATCTGGTTGTTAATTTTGAAACTGTCTTAACTCCATTCTTGGTAAGAAAACGCATATTATTCACTTAATAATTGCCATTATTTTAATAGGAACTGTAAATTTAACTCCTTTAGATACACTTAAGCAGTATGACTCATTGGTATCCTGTACGTATATTTTTAATTGCATTGAAACACAAACCCTTAAATATCCCAATTTAAGTATAAATGGACTTAGGCCACTTACAAGATAAACGGCTCAATTAACGAAAATGTTTTCTTTTTCGGTGCAAGATCAGGCGAGTACTTTCAAAGAACGTTGCAACAATGTCGAATAAACTTTGTGCTAATCGACGTTTATAATTGACCAGTAACTCTATGACTAGACTCTGGAGTTGGTTAAATGGATTAAATAGTTTATACGAAAATTTCATAATCAGTCGAACAATAATTCGTGTCCGCTAGGTTTTTCATGGTCTATAACAAATGTTTGCATTGGCAATGCAACAATAATTGTGAACTTTTAAGTTCTTATAGCCGTGTATTCACAATTTAAGAACACATGCCCGAAAAAAGAAAATAAAAATGTTTACATTACTCTCTGATTAAGTAGTACTGAAATAAGTTTAAACTTAAGTATTAAAAGAAATAGAATTGATGTCAGAAATTGTATAATTTACACTTATGCAAACAGAAATATAGTTTAGTCATAAGTGAAATGTAATTATAGAGAAGGCGGACCTCAAAACGGGGCGACATATGAAATTAAAAAGATTTAGGCCCTTTCCAAAATGAAAGTTAAATCAATTCATAGTTTTGTCAAAACAAAATATTATACTTGAAAACGAAAAGTAATCAACGCCAGTTTCCTTGCTCCTTGTCGAAATAATTCTGATATTCTTGCAAATAATTTTTTTGTTAAAAATCATCCAATAATCACCGACTTAGATTGGACACGTAATCGAACCTTTAAGGTGATATGAAAGGGTCATTCCATACAGAGTATTCCATAATAGATAGTAAACCTCTCAAGGGGTGAAAGAGGGTGAAATTATGAACTGGAAGACCTTTTTCATTTTTTGCTCAGAACATTTTTCATCGAATTATTAGTAGTTAAAGTTGACAACGAGTATTGATATATTGATATTGAAAATATTAATCAAAGGCGCAGCGCGCCGTAAGGACCCCTCGCTCATGCCTGATGTTCCTCCAGAAAAATATCATTTTAATATGCCAAATTATTTAATAGAAGAATGAATAACTAAATTAATAAGAATATAAACAGCCATAAATTGATGAAATAATTAAATTAAAAATCATTCTTTACCTACATAATTGATCAATAAATTACATATTGATCGATTAATTGACCAAAGAATTAATTAAGTCATCCATTTATTCACTGGATGGTGCATTAATAAATTCCTTGCTTAATTGAATGTGAGAAACATTTCATTTTTTCAGAAAACAGGGAGGAGGGTAAAGGGTTTCAAAGGAAATTTATTGTTAAATAAACAATTAATTTTTGCAAAAATGTTACGCTTCCATGTTTTTTCTGTGGCCTTGAAAATGGTTGACTGTTATTCAGTGACCCTGAAGAAACTCGATTTCCTCCTAGATCTAGCAAAAATGACTCCCGGTCGACTGCCAAGTGTGGAAGTAAATCTAAAGATTAGCGGAAATAAAATGCGTGTTAAAGGTGTGTCGAAAAATAAGACCACCATATTACAATGGAATTTTTTTTGAAGGAACGTCAGCCATGACTGGAGGGCCTCCGACGCGCTGCGTCGGGGGCCTAAAATAAATCTAAAGATTAGCGGAAATAAAATGCGTGTTAAAGGTGTGTCGAAAAATAAGACCACCATATTAGAATTAAATTTTTTTTGGAGGAACGTCAGCCATGACTGGAGGGCTCCCGACGCACTGCGTCTGCCGCGCGTCGCCTCGTTGGTCGACTTTTACTAATAACTCGATAAAAAATGTTCTGAGTAAAAATTGGAAAGGGAACTTCTAGTTCAAAATTTCACCCTCTTTCACCCATTCAGAGGATTACTATCTATTGTGGAACATCCTGTATATATAGAACGTCAAAATATTGATAAAACTTTTCTCCAAACTGAGTGCACCGAATAATTTGAAACTCCAACACGTGAATATGGAGGTCCTAAAGAAGAACATGGTGCTGATGAAATTTAATTTTTCCAATAAAAATATGCATTCTTGGTTCTAGTCTAGGCTAAATAAACAAATTTTTGCTAAAAAATGAATTTTCATGATTACCACGTTCTTCCTCAGGACCTCTATAATCACGCGTTGAAGTTTCAAGTTATCCGGTGCATCCAGTTAGGAGAAAAGTTTTACAAAAATATTTTCACGTTTTACGTACATAGAATGACAATTTCATGTCACCTTAATTGTGCACCTTTGCCGCGCAAATCTCTGGGATTTCGGGACTCGTCGGCTGACACGTGTAAAGGTAATCCAGATCAATCAAAGTCGATTTGGAAGGCGTTCGCACGAATCCGATGCACGTTCCTTTTAAGTATTTAACGTTAACGTATCACAGCATTTTCGACCACGTACGACGCTCCTTCTCGCTGCAGCTTCCGAGTGCACTTAGCAGCATTTCCGTAAAAACTCTCGAGGGAGCAAACAGAACGCATGACAACCTTTTCGCGGAAATATGCACGACATTGGTTCCAAGGGTTCTCTCAGTCCTACACGCTCATACCATTTTGATTTCAGACGCACGCGTTTCCCTTCTTTTGGCAGAAGCTCCGAATTCGTTTACATCTCTATAAACGAGCCCTGCGCGAAGACTATCCTTAAGCCTCGAATTGTTCGAAGATGCGTAAGAAAATTAAATACTTTAAAATATATATATATATGTATATTGTATAAGTACGTATATATGTATATGCAATAATAATAATAGCGATAATAAAAGTAATGGTAGCGATATGGTAACGCGCAGAATTGTACGCTCGACGATTTCCTTCAACGCGGGAGATAATTGTGTAACGTTACTACTTATTAGGAACACACTGCCTACGTAGCATAAATAATATAAATAAATATCTCGGCACTAGGCAGGTCCGAGGGGTGTAGAAAAAGGGAGGAAATGAAAGAGAACACTCGCACATCGATAGGCCTCAAAAACATGAGAAAAGTATCCGGTAAGCTAGGAGGACGTGGCACGATCTTCGGTTATTCTGGTTCGAGTTACCATCATCGGATTGTCAATTGACAAGCGTCTAGAGGCTTTTGTCAGTTGTCACTCCGTCAAGAGGAGACTTCTACCCTTCGCAACTTGTCGAATGGATCGTATTTCGGGTGGCACTGTTTTCTTTTCGCGTAAAAATTTCTGCCCGTTGACTCGGAACGCCAGGACCAAAAGAGTCCTTGCATCCTTTTGATTATATAAAAGGCTACGTCGCTAGTACTCTTGAGTATGATAACTATCTAGGCTTTAATATTTGATTTTTCGATGCTGAACTCGGACGAATTGAACGAATGAATTTTCCTTCTCTATTGACTTTCTGTGCACTTTCATCGAAGATCGAATTTTAGGAAGTCGTTGAAATGAATTTCGTTTAGAAAGAAATAAAAAACGGTGAACATTTAAATGTCCATTGTAATATAGACTGCTATTTCGACAATGCCCAAGACGAGATCTTCCGAGCCGAAAGATATCAATCAATTATGGAATCCTTTTGGCATTATTTTACATTGCTCAAAAACTAGGCAATGATTGGCCAAATGTATATATTGCGAACAATGATACGTTTTATTCAGAACTCGCGAATGAACAATTATTAATGACAGCGTCCTTATGGACAAGGACGAACTCTAAATTCCATCCCTGTCTAATCGAATGTAAATAAATGATTTCTTCCAAGGTGTAAAGAAAGGAAAATGAGACTTTGTCCAACATGACTAACTTGTACGCGAGAAGCGAGTCTCGGTACATTTTCACTGAATACGAAGTATTGCAAGGAGAAAATGCAATAATCGTATAACTTACATAAAAATAGGTTAATGATCATAGAGAGCATGTTCTTTGGCAACGATTACTCAGTTATTCCTCGATTCGAAAAAGGGAAATAAACGTCCAGCAGAATGATCACTTCCCTGAACATCCTTTTTAAGGTTGCATCCTTACCAATATTAACGCCGACGCGTCGATATCGGAGGATAACGTTAACAAATTCCTTCCAAAGGTAGTTTCACATTTGAATACATTGATCCGTGGTTGATGACTCTACTAACGAGTGCAGACTAGTTGAATTTCTTTGGTTTGGTCCTTGACGATCGACGACTCATTCGGCAGTGGAAACATTGGCTCGAGGCTCCAAAGATGGTGACGGTAGATCTCTCGGTTCACCGACACGTTGCTGGCTTTTACTTCTGCCAATGATCCAGAAAGTGTTAATAAACAGAAACACATTCCTTGGAAATTTGCAGGGTACGTAGAATGAGTAATATATGAAAGAAACGTGTTCAGGAAGGTGATATGAAAGGGTTATTGCGCGCGCGCGCGCGCGTGTGTGTGCACTTTGATGAGGATATATATATATATATATAAAAAACGTCAAAATATTTATAAAAATGTTCTTCAAACTGAGTACATCGAATCATTTAAAACTTTAACACGTGATTATGGATGCCTTGAGGAAGAGCGCGATGCTCGTGAAATTTCAGTTTCCACAAAAAAATGTGATTTTGGTCCTTGTCTAGGTTAAATAAAAAAATTTGTTTGAAAACAATGAAATTTCACGAGCACCGCGTTCTTTCTTAGGGCCTCCATAATTACGCGTTAACGTTTCAAATGGTGCACTCAATTAGGAAAAAAGTTTTATAAATATTTTCACGTTTTGATATATAGAATGACCCTTTCGCATCATCTTAAGGTGATATTTTTAAAATCTTGATAAACAATTTTTTAATTTTGCATAAATAATTGAATTTAACCGATGTTAAGACCTTCTGAGGCCTCCCCTATTCACGTTGTAAAATTTCAACCGATTCGGTACACCCAGTTCGGAGAAATGTTTCATAAATGAGGCCCCTCGGACGCCACTTTCATATCACCTTAAAAGTGTTATGAACGGTCAGGACTGAAATGTAACACACCCAAGTTAGAGACAAACCAAAGAAATATGCCGAGTATTAATAATAATTTTTTTACGCGTCTTATGATTTTCATTTAAAAACAGAGACCTTATAAAACTAGTTGCCCGTAGTAATGAGTGGAATACCTTGTTCGTTCCCGTCTCTCGCTATCATCGCCGATGTCGATCTCCGTCACCTTGTCGGAGTAGCTCTTCCACTTGTCCCCAAGTTGGGGCAGGTCAAGATTGCCATTATGGTACCCGTTCTCAAACCTAGCGGAGACTTCTCCGGAAGTCAGTGGCTTCCTGCTGGAGAAGTACTCGCTGGTCCCCGGGGACAGCAGTTCCTCGTAGTACTCCGGAGTTTTTGGTTGTAGGCTAGATACGGTGGAGCCGTATCTCTTGGGCAAGGTGCCGGTGCTTCTGGTGGTGTACGGATCAGAGTTCCCATCGCTCGAGAAGGAACCGGTCAGTGGAGTTTTGTAGGACCCCAGCTCGCTGTCGGTGAAGTCAGCGCTACGATACATCTTCCTCGAGCTGGTGGAGTCCATCAAGGTGGGCGACCTGCTGTACCTTCGCAGAGGATCGTAAGAGCTGGACAGACTTCCGTGATGGGAATCGGAGGTGGGCCTGGAGTCGATGGAGTAAGTGCTGCCGACCTCGGAGTACCTATCCACCGGTGATTTCACCCGGCTGGGAGCAACGATGTCGTCGTTGTAAAGACTGTACGTTCTTTCAGGGTTTCTTCGAGAAGACCAGCTCAGTGGCAGGTCCCTGTCGCGGCTGGACCCGTAACTGAACTTCCTGGGCAACGTGGAGCTGGTCGCGGGAGCGAGACTGCTCGAGGTACCTATCAAGGACGTCTTTCTTTTGCGGTCGTTAAATCGAGAGTAGAAGCTCCTTCTCCTGATCCTGTCTACTATGGACTCCGTGGAATAGTCTCCTCGCAGAGCTAGGGAGTACGTAGGCGAGGTCGGCGAATGTAAGTCGCCCCGTAAGTGGTTCATATCTGCCGAACACACGGACCAAAAATCGAAGTTGTCGGTGTCGTCAACAGGCGTAAGGATTTCCTCGGTGTTCTCGTTCGGACTCTCTTTCAGGGAAGGAGGATCGGGACTATATTTTTCGCTGGGTGAAGTTTCGGCGATGGTTGGAGGCACTTCGGGCTCCGTGATCTGCACCTTCACCTGGGGGACCTCGGGCTCTTTCTTCTCTTCCTTAACTTCGACTTCCAAATTTTCATGGGAATTCCTTACCTCGTTCTTTAGTTCCGCAACGTCTTTTGCGCTCAATGGTTTGTCGATTATGATCTTGTTACCGGTGATATTCGCGTGATGGGTAATTTTCGAGAGAACGCCGTCCATCTTCGCGTCGTCCGATGATTTGCCCTCGGTCTTCGGAGGTTCTTTTTTCGCGGATGATCCTCTGAAGGAATGTTGAGGTATTCTCGTTAAATCTAGTTTCAAGTTGCTCCTGCTCGGCTTTACCCCAGGCGTTGTGGAATCTACGGTATTCTCGTTTATCGTACCTCGGGGATTTTCTGCTTTAGGTAATGACGGTTCTTTGGCATCTCTGTCGTTTGATAAAGCCGCCGATGCCTCCGGGTTCTTCTCCTTTCTCGTTGAAACGATCTTTTTAATGAACGACTTTTTCTCCTTACCCTCTTTACCTTCTTTACTGTCAGACTTACTCTCAGAAATCATGGTCTTGATCAACGACTTCTTCTCCTTGCCCTCTTTACCTTCTGACTTACTGTCGGAACTGTCAGGCGATTTCTTCGCAACTTTCTTGACAACTCGCACGCTCTTTTTCTTCTCGGGCTTCTCCCCATCCTTTTCTACAGGATCCTTCGTTTTGGTCGCTTTAACAACCTTCTTCTCAACTTCCTCACCTTTTTCTACCTTTGTCATCGATCCATTTCTCCTCGAAGAAGTTACCGAACTGGAGCTATTTCTCTTCAGCTTAGAAACTTTCCTCTCCTCGGAATCGCTGCTCTTATCGTCGCTCTGCTTATTGTCCTTATCCGGGGAGATCTTCCTAGTCTTGATTTCGGCTTGTTTATTATCTTTATCCGGCGATATCTTTTTCATCAAAGCACCTTTTTCCGTTGAACTGCTCACCTTGTCGATCACTCTTTCAGACGATCCAGCCTTTTTTGCAGTTTTCTCCGCAACTCCATCCTTGACAGGAAGTCCATTAACAGCGACATCGGATTTTTCTTGACCTTCCAATTTAGACTGAATCACTTTGTCTGGAGTTATTTTCTTATTTTCCTTCGTTGTCCTTTCTACCGAGGATCTTTTCGTATCCGCCGTAGTCCTTTCCGGCGTAATCTTATCCTTCAGTTTCTCCCTCGTCGGTGTCCGCTTCGTCTCGGTTACCTTTTCGGGAGATTTTTTGACCTCGCTGACTTTTTTCGCAGCTCTAGACTGCTTCGTTGGAATCTTGCTGTTGGCAGACGCATCACCAGTCAGTACGGTATCCGATCGAGACCCTTTATACGGACTTTTCCTTAATCTACTTAAAATAGCGCTTTGAGGTCGAGCGCCATTAGAACTAGATTTGCCGTCATTATTCTTGAATAAACCCAAAACTGACGATACCTTGCTCTTAGACGAGCTACTCTGCTCGTCTGCTGTAATCGCAGCACCACCGGTAGCGAGGTTTTCGACGCTCAATGTCTTCTTCATAATCTCCAAACTGGGCGGTAGACATTCCGCGGGGGGCGCAGAATTTTCCCGCGAGTTCCTCAGCTTCTCAGTTTTGGAATTGTCATCGCCCGAGCGGAACTTTTCCAATTTTTTCTCAAGGGAATAAAGAAAGCCGCTTTTCGAGTTCTGCTTGTCGATCTTGCATTTGGTCTCGTCCTGCGTCTTCTCCTGTGCGTCCTTTTCGATGATTTCGTCCTTACCAAGAGCGTCCGAGCGTTCTTTCGTTATGGAATTGACTTCGTTCTTCAGCTCTTTAGACGCTGCCCCTTCAGGATCCTTCTCCTCGTCCTTAGGTTCGACCTTTTTCCTGGTGAACCTCGATTTCCTGCGCTCGTTTTCGGCAGCTTTCCGCGCTTCCTTCTCCTTCACGTACTGACTTTCCTCGCGCGGAGTATCAAAGAAGTCCGGTCTCAGAAACCTGGAGATCCTGCGCTGGGCCTTGGGCTTCTGGGCAGCGTCCTTCGGCTCCTCGTCCTTCGATCCTCCAGGCTTGAAGAACTTACTCAGGATCGACCTCTCCGGCGTGACCTCTCTTATGCACAGCCCACTCTGAGATCCAGCGTACGACTTCCTCCGATCTTTCCCCAAGGACGTCTCTCTGTTCAGAGACCCCGACCTGAGCCTCAGACTCGGTATGCAGCTCCTCCTCTTCGTCGCGATGGTCCCGACATCGACGATGGACCCCAGCGAGTCCTTGTCGCACTTATCAATGTCCTTGTAGCTAGACCTCAAATTCGGATCGAACCTCCCGCCTCCTAGGTTCCTCTTCTTGGACTCCTTGATCAGATTCTCCGCAGCGAGCAGCCGGTTCTCGAAATCCTTCGCGTCCTCCGACTTATAGGACCCGCTGTAATCCATCAAGTTCGAAGAGGACTCCGTGATGGAAGTCTCGCTGGACCTGGCCGAGGCACTGGAAGCAGGGTCAATCAAATTCGCCACAGAATTACAGTCTACCGTGGAGTTACCCTCTGACGCGGAGCCGTTCTCCACGCACTTGTTCTCCAGCCTGTTCCTGAGACGGGGCAGCTGGGAGTCGTCCGTCTCCTCCTGGATATTCTCGTTCCTGTAGACGTGAAAATTCTCCCGCCTGGAGCTCGCCCCGCCGGTAGACTTGCCGGCATCCCTGAGCTTCCTGCCGAAGTTCGCGACCTGCCTCGGCAGAGGAGGCAGCAGCAGCTTGTCCTCGTCGTCGAAGAGGCTGATGCTCCTCCTGGGCGACTTGCGGTCCGAGGTCTCGGCGTCCTTGGGCTCCAGCAGGCTCGAGGTCCTCCGAACGACCCGGTCGACCGACCTGCCCCTGTACTCGGTCTGGTCCGAGCTGGTGGACGGCATGGGCCGTTTGTCGGCCTCGTCGACCTCCAGGGTGCCGAGGACTCGCTGGGTGGGCGGCTGGTACTTCTCGCGGGGTATCGACGGCGACCTGGGCAGCGAGTGTCGGGTCTGCTCGATGAACTGCCGACTCAGACGGCGCGCCAGGCTCGGCGTGAAGCTCTGCTCGAGCGACTCCTGGGCCTGCCTCCTCATCTCCGTGCACTCGGCCTCCTCGTCCTTCCTCGACTTATCTGAAAGCAATTCATACGTGGTCTTTGGCCTGTGCGACGCCACGGCGTACGGTGCGCGGGTCCCGCGGGTCTCACGGGTCTCACGTGTGTCGGCGTCGCCCGACCTCGGGGCTCCCGTCTCCCTCGACTCCTGGGTCCTCGGCTCCGACGAGGAAGGAACTAACCAGACCCGTCGACGTTTCCATTCCTTTATTGCTACGTACATCCAATCTGTCTGTATAAAAAGGTCCCTTGAAAAACGACGGGGTCTCTTACATCGTGCCCGGTTCTCGGTAAGGAGGCCCTCCTTAATCGGTCTCCGATGTCGAAGGACGTCTTAGCTTATCTACGTGAAACCATCTGCGGCCTCGGCGTCCAGGTACTACCCAGGTACCTAGGTACATTGACTCTCGCCCCCGACCTAGGAATGTGTCCATCGCGCACCGCGGTCGATCGCAGAAGGCTACCATGGGGGGTCCAGGGACAAGGAGCGTGGATTCGCGTCGCGCTTAGTCAGCTGCTTTAGCGAACCCTCGTACACAGGGTACGATTTGGCGCGCGTATTGCTTCACCGTGTACAAACGTGCTGAGAAACCACGAAAATGAGTCGGGGCCTCGCGAGGAGTACTCGTTCACTGGCGTCGCGCTGTAACGAGATTCGCCCTTACGAGCGGTTCATCGAATTCGGTCCAATAATGGATCTTGCGCCGCGGTCGAGGATAACCCCGGTACTCTTTGTATTCCGATGTAAAGTACGTGCACGCGTGTTAACACAAAAGTCAGGTTCGCGGTTTAGACCCGCGAGAGCTGTTAAACGAGTAAACCTCGGGGGGACTCTCCGACTCGTATTAGAGCGACCAAAGCATGCCTTAGAAAGGGGGGATTGATAGTAACGGTTCCGGAAACGGTGATAATACAATAATAAATGGTAATAGTAGGGCTAACAATCATAGAAACGCTGTTATGTAAACTCTGAAAAAACACAACAAGTCTCAGCCGTTACAGGCAGGGGGGTTAGTACTCGCTTGCGTTAAGAAACTTCCAATCGAGTTCGTCTCGGCACTTAATTAGCGTCGTGTAAAACGGTTTACAAGGATACCTCTCGTGTTATAACAAAAATCGTTGACTAACATTCGACGACGATGCGTCGTACAGGTCGGCGCACCACCGTCCAACGACGAGGCCCGATACGATTTATCCCGCATTAATCTCCTACCACATAAAATATATATCGACGTGTAACAAATATCTCTCTCTCTCTACGTACATATCGGCGGCCTCGAGGGGCCGCACTTACGGGGTAAATCGCACCTTCGAGAACGCGTCTCTTTTCTCAACCGATCGCGACACAAGAGGCGGCAAAAGACACGACGCCGGCTAACGTTAGCTAGACTCGTAGCTGTTATATATCACGTGTGGTCATACTCGCTTCTCGGAGAGCTGTCAAGGATCCCAACGACAAACTTTTGCCACTACCAACACGACGGGAGGATGCGATCATGCAAGACTCCTCGGACATCCGGTCTCTACTCGATAATGAAGAGGCACGTATTGCACACATATTGCGACTCGTTCATTTCCTTCTCTCTCCGCTTACAAACGGTCCCACCGACGGCGTTAACGCGTCGCCCTGGAAAGCGTTATCCTCGCTAATTTACATGGCACTGGCACGACGGCTCGATCGACGTCTCACTTCGGGGGAAATTAAATATCGATGGCACGAGCGAGGAGGCGCGACTCTCGCGAGCTACGCTGCGAGGACGGAGACGTAACATTTTGTTTGTTTGTTTGTTTTTTTTTTCCTTTCTTTCTTTCCTTTCTTTCTACACGAGTGTTATACGCTAATCAGGTTTCTTTTTGATTTCGTTCCGTTGGATGTTCCAGGTGTACCCGTCGACAGCCGTCCGAGAAACTCGGAGTCGAGTGTATTGTGGTCTTTAGGTGATGAAGGAGGTTCTCCCGCGTTCAAGAGGAGCGAACGATGTCGTGGTCTCGAGAGACTCACTAATTTAGGTATCGTATAGTACCTAACTTGTGGTTTGTCTACTGGGGATTAGCGTCGGCCCGCCTACGCAGAGTCACTCGCACGGTCGCTGCAACAACCGTCATAAAAGACCGTCAATGAGTCTGTTCCACAAGGTGAGGTTTGCGTTTTGGAGCCGCTGAGAATCTGTAGAGTATACTTTCGGTATATCGGTTCCAGGTGCTCGGCTATCTCTATTCGTCTTCTTCGACCCCGGGGAGAAGGCCGAAGGCCAGGGACTGGTTCTATCGTCTCGAGGATTCGTAGAGAATTTCCGCCGAGGGGAAATGGAGAAGCGACTGGAGCATGCCTAGTTACGTGAGGATTTTCAAAGTTTGCGGAAATAAGTGCCGACCCTGATTTTCCTCATATTTTTCGGGGATCTTTTTCTCGCGCTTTACGTACAGGTAGCCCTCCTATAACACGGTTTCGCTCTAACACGCCTAGATAAATTGCGGGAACCCTCGTATAGCACTGCACCTTATAACACCGTTTCGCTCTAACACGGTAAGAAAATTGCGAAAACCTTTCTACAACCCTGTACTCCTGTCCAGCACTGGATAACATGATTTTTGTTTGACATATTTAAAGACTAAATTACCTTAAAGTAATGATGGGAAGGAATAATAAACTATAGTGGCTTTACATGAAAATAATATTCCTTGTTTTCTTTTTCGTTTTGTGTTATACATGCATTTATATTTTTAATAAAAATTAAGTTGCTTATATGGAATTTAAAAAAAAAGTTTTTTTTTAATAGGTTTTCTCGGAACGTAATCCCACCTTTTTGTCCTGGCTCTGAGTCTTATATAACACGGTTTCATAGCACGGCATTTTCTAGAAACCTATCTACCGTGTTGTAGNATTAAGTTGCTTCTATGGAATTGAAAAAAAAAAGTTTGTTTTTAATAGGTTTTCGGAACGTAATCCTCGCTTCTTGTCCTGGCTCTGAGTCTCATATAACACGGTCTCACCCAACACGGCATTTTCTAGGAACCTATCTACCGTGTTATAGGAGGGTTACCTGTACTTCAAGTTAATCTCTCGCATCACGAGGTACTCGCGAATGAAAGGACGTATTTTTTTCTTTTCTTTATCATCCTTTTTCATTTTCTCTTAGGATGGCAAAGAGACCCCGGAAGGGAAGTTCGCGCACTCGAGTCATCTACCGATCGTTAAATCCTATCAGGAAACAAAGACTGCATCAAAGTGGCTTTATTCGAGAGCGAGCATTGTAGGTAATATTTAACACTTTCAGAAATTCATTTGTCTCGACTACTGAAACCGCGATAATTTCACCCGTGTCAGGTTCATTGTATGCACGACAAAATGTTTTTCAGACATTGCATCTATGGGATAATAATTTTTATCGTGTTATCATTAATCAAGTCTTTAGAAATGTTTTATTAACACATTCGCGACTGCCGACGTGAATTCACGTCTTTTCAAGTTCTTTCTATTCCTAGTTGCCGCTGACGTGAATCACGTCCTTTAAGGTGAAGTGAAACCCCCTTCAAATCAGTCGATTCGAATACAACACTTTTTTTTAAGGATATTAGACCAAACTGTCCGAAACTTTGACACATAACTCCTAATCATCTAAGAATTGTCCTGACACATTCAAAATTTGGATTTTTTGAAAAAATTTGTTAACTTAGCCCAGACTAGAACCAAAATGGCGTCGAGCTCTCATATTTCGATCAATATACAATTATCGAAGGCTCTGATATGAGAAACGAAAGTATCAGGACAATTTTACGACAATTTAAAACACCCTGGTAATCGATAAACTCGCATTTGAACGCGATAAAGGCAAAAAAAGTATTGTATGCGCTTCTATGCTAAAACGATGGGAATACGAGGCCTCGGAGGGAAAATTTAATTGACCTGGAAATCACAGATGGCGCAGAGTGTCCCTCTGCAATCAATTAGGTCCCCTGAAAGCATGAATCCAGAGGATTTCTGGAGTTTTACTTCGATTTCTTGATATTTATTGTACGAAAACGACAGGTGGAGTATGCCATTTGGTACAATATCCAATATAATTAGATACAGCTATCAATATAAAAACGAACGTTGGCAACGTAGAGGCATTTAGAAAAATCTTCTTTATCGTCATCGATCAAGTTCCTCGACGTGTTTCACTTCACCTTAACGATACAAGTTTGCGGCAACCAGTTTCAGAATTTCATTATTTTCGCCGGTACTCAGTATTTGACATGGAAAAATTTACCGGTCGCGAATGTGTTAAACGAGTTGCCGAAGGCTTACATTGATATTTCAATCTGAAGTGCTAGAGTACTTAAATGGTGCCAGGAGTGGGTGTTGAAAAGCTTTCTCTAAAGAGGTATGGTGCCATTTATACGTGTATAAGAGACTGAAAGTGTTAAATCGCGATCTAAATCAATGAACCGAAACGACCGATTTCAGCAATACATACCCTGCCCGAAAGCCGTGACAATCTATTATCTTTGAGGCATTGACAAAGATAGAATAAGGCAGGGGTAAGAAATAAAATAAAAGATTAAAAGATAAACAGATAAACATACGAAATCGGTAAACGTGAAAAATTCCAGGACTCCATCCTCGAAATAGGAAATAAGTGGAAAGTCATCGTGTCTATATTCACGATTGTAAATAGATAATGATTAAATTTTGCAATTCTCTTTCTTTGAATTTTTCCACGAGGACCCGGATTCCAATTGGTATCAATCCTCATCGGTAGTCATTCCGTTGCACCAGCTACAATTGCAAATGGAGGACAATGTGTGTCGTACCGAAAATATAGTCTGTCAAATATCAGTCGGCGATAAAAAAATTTCATTCAGGTTTACATCTCACTGATTGAAGAGTCGACGATAGACGTGAAGTAAACTCGAAGACTTTTTATTGTTTCCTTGTTAACAGGTGATTTTCTTTCCCTTGAGAGAGTGAGGTAGAGTCTTTCTTGTACTTCTGTGTATGGTTATGTGTGCACTCATGCTGTACGAACTTTAATGCAATACTGGCGAAGTAGTACTAAATAAATAAATGAATAAATAAATATAGGAAAGAAGTAAGAAGAAATGGAGATGTAGAAGGTATCATTCCTGTAGCGTTAAGGGATAATCAGAAAAAAAAAAGTCGTAAACAACCACATTACCACGACTACGGTATATTACGGAAGTTCTATGCCGGGCGAGGTATGAGCTTGGTTTTCATTTGTTATACGATCCAAAATAAAGAAAGGGCTAAATTTAAATGGCGTATTAAGAATCATTTCTTTTTCTCCCAAAGCGACGTATAATATTAAGTTACCGCCGATATTAAAATGTCTCTGAACGTGCGAAGTAAATTTTTCTAAGAAAGGTATACGTATCTCCTGCCACACATAAAAATGTATTTAACAGAATTTAGAGGCCGAGAAGCAACACGGAATATGGAATGAATACTATTACAACGAATTACATTTTTCTTTTTGTCTAAAGTATAAAGGAATTTTTTTCAACGTAAATAATTCCTATTAATATTCTACTCTACATGTAAGGACAACAGCCAAATATTGCGTGCACGTAAAGGAGCAGATATTCAATATTGTTATCGAATAAAAGTGCGTAAATTTACTAAAGCATTTTCAAATTTCTTTACAGAACCTCCGAAATTCCAACTAAACAATTTTAATGTGATTTGAAAGATTGCTAATTAATATTGTAAATACATCCACGTTAACGTTGATTACGACATATCGTACGGATTTGTCGTTCTTACAAAATGTTATTCCGTCGAGTTGTATTCATTAAATGGCAACTTATCGAGCTCTTCACATTGTGCAATTCATGTACGAGTATTATATTTAATTACAGCAAATATACGCCCACCCTTGCCAGGAAGGTTCATGAAACACTACGTGCACCCATGCTATTTGCAGTTAAACATATCCGAATTTAATGATCTAAAGGAGATTGTTTAAGAATCTCGTTTCGTAATACGTGGAGGCTATACGCTATTTACAGCGGTGTGTCAAATATCAAAAAGCTACCGGAAAAAAAAAAAGGAGCAAACCGAAAGGAAGCTGGACATACAAGTCAGACGACTACGCGACAGCTCTACCCACCTGCGCCAGACAAGAGATCCATACGTTACGTCTACTGGTGTTAGTACAAAAAAATTGCAAAACATAGTAACAGGCAAAAATAGTCAAAGGAGAAACATTGTTCGTCGTGGAGAATCTGGAAGATGGTTGGTGGAAAGTTACAAAAAAAGAGAGCGAGAGAGAGACATATGTGCTCTGTCTATCAACGACTCAACAACAGCTAGGTACATACTAGGAGATGCATTACCGAAATTCCAGCCAGTATTATATCCCACGGTTAACTGCTCGTTAACCGCTGATAAAGTGGCAGTGAAATGTTCTCGGGCACGATTCGGCAGAAGCTGACATGTAGGTCAATTTCATTTTCTCAGACATATCGACGATTAAACACCAAATTCAATCACATTAAATGCGACGTTCCGAGCGCAGCTTCGGTCGTCACCGTGCCTTGACACCGTACAACATCAAACGTGTCTTTCTCGTACATTTCACCGTGGATTTCCGCAAGTGAACAGCTTTTCGTTCACTTTCGATCAAATGGAAATTGCTAAAGTGTGTATCGTTACTTATAGAGTAACGTATCAATGACGGTATGAAGGTCAGAACAGAGTCATGAGATGCAGAATAATTTATCCAATGTTCCTATGACTTATGCCCAGTCCCACCAACTTCGGTCAAATCATAGATTACCTAACCGTAGGTTAAAGTTAACGTTTAAGTTAAGCACGGGTTAAAAACGTAAATGTTCCACCACATTTATTTAGAGCGCGATTAACTAATCGTATATCCTATTTGAAGTAAGTTCCATCATCCGTAAACGCGTTCGCGTGATTGGTTGATACTCCGATTGATTAAGAGGCAAGATAGATGCACTCTTATCGAGACACGGAGTCTTCATGAAATAACTTATTTGACAAATCCCAGCTTCGAAAAGTAAAGTTCCTTAATTAATAATTAATATAAAATATTTTCACGCGTACTTCGATCATTAAGGTGAAGTGAAACCCCCTTCAAATCAGTCGATTCGAATACAACACTTTTTTTTAAGGGTATTAGACCAAACTGTCCGAAACTTTGGCACGTCACTCCTGATAATCTAAGCATTGTCCTGACACATTCAAATTTTGGATTTTTGGAAAAAATGGTTTAACTTACCCCAGACCAGAACCAAAATGGCATCGAGCTCTCATATTTTGATCGATATACAATTATCGAAGGCTCTGATATGAGAAACGAAAGAGTCAGGACAATTTTACGACAATATAGAACAGTCTGGTAATCGATAAACTCGCATTTGAACGGGATAAAGGCAAAAAAAGTGTTGTATGAGCTTCTATGCCAAAACGATGGGAATACGAGATCTCGAAGTGAAAGTTTAATTGACTTGGAAATCACAGATGGCGCAGGGGGTCCCTCTGCAGTCAATTAGGGCCCCAGAAAGCATGAATTCAGAGGATTTCTGGAGTTTTACTTCGATTTCTTGATATTTATTGTACAAAAACGACAGATGGAGTATGCCATTTGGTACAATATCCAATATAATTCGATACAGCTGTCAATATAAAAACGAACGTCGGCAACGTAGGCATTTAGAAAAATCTTCTTTATCGTCGTCGATCAAGTTCCTCGACGTGTTTCACTTCACTTTAAGAAAATGTAAATGTAATCGAAACCGTCTTCATCCGTTTCGTCATAAGAAGATATTAATATATACTCATTTGACGTTTTCCTCGCGTATGTGCAGTCTTTGGGTTGAAGTTCGATTAACTGAAGCTAAATTGATGTAAACGGCGGTTAATGGAAATTAACCCGCCGTTAAAATGTGGTGGAACGTGCAACTCATTGTAACCGAGGATTAGCTTTTTGACCGAGATTGGTGGTGCCAGGCACTAGGGAATTGATGAATGATTTGTAGTTGGTACCACGGTGAATTGACGAGCACTTGTTGCTCACTCTCTTACCTCGTGGCAAAGTGTTGCTCCCAGTCTCAAAGACGTTCTCCCGCGAGGGTGTACTCCGTGTCCCCTGGTTATTTTGTGCCCCAGGGCTTCCTGGATCGGAGGGATCCTTGCATCCGAACCTGTCGGTATCACGACTCAGAGAGCGCCGGAACTGCGATTCCGAGATTCGCCTGGATATCAAAAGACAATTAAATTACACTAAAATCTTCGCGATAACTGATTACATATTTTTCAGATACATTCGTCTATAGTCTAAGTCCAAATTCTGCCGGGAGACTTACTGAGATGTCAGCATTGCAAGGAAATTATACGATACACCTGGGATGAAATAGTCTTCGTGCGATTTAATTAATAGATTCTCCCGAGCAAGGGAAAGATTCTTAATACGAGGGGATCGACAAAGAGGAGACAGAAGAATCGATCAAGCTGTTGCAACGGTGGAGGCGTGCGAACGATTGAATGGTGTCCATTCGTAGGAAATATGCCAACCTGTGCAGGGTGGTCAAAAGTATTTCGAGCTCGTTTATTTTGGCATCGCTAGCGTGTGCTACAATCGTCAAACTACCGGTCTGACCCCGTAGCGATTTCCCTTTCGAGGTTGCCAAAAGAAAAATACTGGACTCAATCGCGTAAACGGGGAGGAGCTGATTGCAAATCGGACGTGCAAGTGCTTGGCTACGAATATTTAACTTAACAGACCGTGTACTGAATCAAAAGGGTATTTTTTCGTCTCTCTGAAAGGATGTGCAATTATACCTTCTTTTGAGCTATTTAAAGGAAATCATTATTTCTAGACTCACGTTGTCGTAGTTCGCGTTTCGGTGTAACTCTGGTAGCTTGCACATACAAGTGACAGGACTATAAACGACTTTTGCCAAAAAGGTCTCAAAAATGGGAATGGATCGAAACATATGAAGGCGAATATCAGGTCAGAAGTAAACGTTATCTGCCTTTCCCTTTTTTTCGCTTACTCGTACGACTTAGTCTTCGTTTACCTAGACAATGGCTCGTGGACTCCCCAGAAACCTTGAGGCGAATTTGATCCTAATCTTCCCAACAATCTACTGCCGAGGAAACCACTGCCTCGGTTGTCGTCGACATTCAGTCTCTGGGTCAAGCTTCTCACTCTTGACAGAAGGGTAGAGAATAAATTTTCAGCGGTCAGTAATTCGAAACCGTCGTCGTCGTCGTCTTCTCCGGACGATAAGCTATCGGCATGCTCGGGCGGTTGTCTGGTTGGTCGAGAGCTTCGCAGACGATGCATGTGCCTCTGCAGAAGGTCGTCACTGTCCCTAGTGTCAAATGAAACATATAAAACACATATTCTAGGTCGTACAAAAGAGCCACGACTTTTACCTGTGAAGCGTTGAGAAGGGAGATTCATCTTCACTGGCATCGGAGAGCAACGAGCTCATTCTTCTTGGTCGTCCGAATCTTGGCCTTGATGCCGTGGTACTCGTTGGAGCACTAGTTTTGCTCTCTGGTTCAACACTTCCAGACCTGGGTGTCACATAGCCGCCGCCTTCTACCGCAATGGGAATAATGTACTCTCTCGGGCTCTTTCTGATCGGTTCAGGGCCAGAAGTCGAGCCCAAAGCACTGTCCGTATCAGAATCTGCGGTTGATTGACGCGACAGAGAATTGGATCTTTGTGACATGGAACGTTGAGGCATTGGAGGCTTTGGTGGCGGGGTAGAAGAGTGCTGAGGCTGCTGCGAACCTGGTTCAACCTGGAATTAAAATGTCATTGAGGAAATAAAAATTAAGTTTAATAATGGACGACTGAAACCATATCGCAAACATAAAGCATTAGCATTTCCCGTCGCGGCTTTGTTCGCGATATGGGCAAGGTATTGATTAGGTAAGGCAGTCCAGAAATTAGTTTTTACGCATTTGAGCGTGTACTTTTTTTAAATAAATACCAAATCGATATCTCAGCGAGCTTCAGTAATATTAAGAAATTTATAAGAACACATTTTGCCCCTTTTCACCCTCTTAGGGGTTAAATTTCGAAAAATAGTTACCACCCCACCACCCTTAGTGGGTGTCTACGTCAGAAAAGGAAATTACAGTCCAAACTTCATGTTTCTATTTCCAGCAGTTTGGACTGGGCGTTGATGATCAGCCAGGCTATCGGTTAGGATATCTTCTCTGTTATACATAGAGATGCATGAAATAGTATTGTCAAATAGTTCAACTTACATGGATCGGTATAATTCGTTCTTTAGGTGACGATTTGTCTTCGGGTTCCAAGCTGGAACATCTATGAGCTTGAGGAACCGCTGCCGCAACAGGGAACGCGATCTCCGATCTCTGGGTCCTTAATTTTTGCGGGGGAACCGCCGCAATCTTGGCCTCGACCTCGGACTTGAAGCTTTCTGGCGACTTCGCTCCAGTTAATATGATTTCTGCTTTACTAGTTTTTCGGGGTCGCGGTAGCGTGGCGCTCTTCAAGGTGATCTCCATTTTACTTGACTTTCTGGGTTCTTCCACCGGGGAGTTTTCGGAATCAGGCGTGCTGGATACCTGGAAGAAAGGATTTGCAGCACGTCCAACCGTTATTATGGCTCCTTTGTCCATACCGAGCCACTTTGTCTCACACCAAGGTATATTAGTAAGCTTTTATGATGGTAATATTTCGACGTTGAAGGAAATAGTAAATGCCGAAACTCATGAAAAACAGGTTATACGTTTCTCTCACAAAGGATAGCCGTTAGTTACAATTTGTCAATGTTAGTCGGGCACGGAAATATGAGGGTTATAAAAGGGATTAGGAAAGGCCCATTTATTTGTCGGATTTAGGGACCGGGTCCAAATTGGAATTGGTCTACTGTAGCAGGCTGTAACAGGGCCAAAATATCGAATTATAGGTAATGGGTAGAGATGTCAAGGTAATGGTCGCGGTAGTCCAATAGCGTTCTAATTACCGAAAGAAAGGAATTAAGGAAGCCATTTCCTTTTGCATAGGATAATTACGGGCTATTTGTAAATTATTGAAGTTTTAGGAACGATGTAAGGGTATGATTAAATATTTTTACAAATATTTACATAAAGGATCGAATGGTCGGTATAGTTCTTTCCTTCTATTTTCGTAAAACAATTTATGCCGCCGTGTGTACGCAATGATTTTCACTAGATTTTTTTTATTCATTTCTATTTATTGCTTTTTATACAAATATCGCGTATAAAAATAATTCAGTATTTACAGTTTATTATTATGTACATAAAGGAAAAGAGTCATTTTATTTGTACCATTTTACTCAACCGAAACTTCATAATTTACGCAATTCGATTACGCATTGTCAACGAGTTGAACGTTTTTCTAAGTAGTCTTTAAGTCTATAAGGCATTACGTTTAACAACATAAAATAGTAATTTATAGGAAAATTAGAAAAATAGCAACATAAAAATAAAGGCTAACGTCTGTGTCCGAAGAGCTTTTGTACTTTATGATATAAAAATAGTAAAGTTTTTATAAAAACATACCACATATACATACTTGGTATAAAAAATTATTTAACACTTTTACATTGCTCTTGCAGGGGATCAGTAACTTTTGTTGCATATTTGTACTTAACTTTATATCCGCTATAAACATCTCTAACATTTATTTGAGTAGCGGCACTGTACCGCGCGCGAGTAATACCCTAAGGAAATGTTTACAATTAAAGTTAGGGCGGATTATTCAGTCTTAAAAAAGTCGTCTCGCCATGCAGCACCAAGCAATATAAAATTTGCATATAAAGAGAAGAAAACCCAGAGAAATGCCTCCGTAATAGAGAAGAGGAGTGGAAAGGTCAGCATCGATAGTACTTTACATAAATTGTGCACATTCGTTCGTATAAAGGAATGGTATCACGTAATACCATACGCGTTTGGAATGCATGAACTTTCTTCGCGTTGGAATGTTATTACAAGCCAAAACATACGCCTTTCGATATGTTAGATAAAACCCAATCTCTGTCAACGAATTCTGCACTTTTTACCGCGAGATTGCTTGACATGCTTTGATTTTCTGGAATATCCCTGGAGATGACATTCAGAAATCGCATGACTTACCGCTTTTGGCACGGACGGCTTCGTTTCGAACGGAAACTTGGTCTCGACTGGCGTGGATACCGTCACCGTGGCGGTTCTAACATCGTTCGGACCGACTTGCACCTTTAGTCCGAGTTTTTTAGCCTCGTTACTTTGCGGTGAAGTAGGAGGCGATCCGTTTACCTTCCGCTGCATCGGCGGTTTCCCTAAGGCCCCTGTAATGATGTCCACCGCTCTTTTCTTTTCCTCGTCTCGTTTACTCGTCCTGTCGTCTTTAGTTTCGGTTTCTGTCTTTGCGGCTTCGAGCGACTTTTCCTCCGGCTTGTCGTTCTTCTTGTCGGTAGGTACATCTATAATAGCCTTCGTGGGTTTTACAGATGGGGGCGTAGCGATCGACGAGAGACTTGCTTTACGTTCAAAAGCGCGTTTTGCGCCACCCACGTTCACGCCAGGTATAAAGATCTTTTTGGGTTTCTCCATCTCGGTAGTTAGAGCCATTTGGTTGAACTTCTCAGCAGTTTCGAATATCTTTGACCGTCTTCTTTCGGTTGGCTTTACCGGTGGTTCCGCCGGCTCGTTTAAAAGTTCAGAATCAAGGGACAGGGCTTTTTCCCGGAGTTTCTTGATGTTCGTCCTGCCTACGGATTCCGACTTGTTGCTCTCCTTTGGTGCAGGAGTCTCACTATTAGCGTCGCTTGTTTTGGTCTCTGCTTCGGTCGAGCGGGACGACGGTTCTTGAGAAACGGCGTTATTCTCGCGCTCTACAGTTTCGCCAACTTTCTCCTTAGCAGGCTTCTTCCTGTCCGGCGATTTGTGCGGTTTATCCGACATGTCCTTCTTAGGAGACTTTGAGGCCCTTTCCTCTGAGTTCTGATTTTCCACCCTAGCATCATGTTCTTTCGTCTCGCCAACACTTTGCTCTAAATATTCATCCTTGACTTCGTGACCTTCCGCCGCTACGGGAGTTTTGCTTCTTTCTCTGTTGCCTGTTTCTCCACTTTCCTGAATTAGTTCTAAACACGTCTTATCCAACTCTTGAGCGGTAACCGTGGGAGCGATAGGATCGATTTCAAATGCCGGGGGACATACCTCCATGGCTTCTTCCGTTATGGGATTTGGGATAGGTGCCGAATGATGCCTGAGAACAAGAAGATCAATCAATGGCTTATTTATCTTTCTAAAGTGACACTGAGAAATATTTATAAAACGTTAATAAGTTAATGAGTTCAAGAAACGCACCTAGATCCTGATCTATAACTCCTAGGCTCACATTCAGTCATTCTTTCTATTCGTCTCACCCTTTCTTTCCTTTTGACCTCGGATGCGACTGCTTCGTCCATCGACGGCGTCGTTTCCAGTTTTCTCTTGGCATCGCCGGTTGCACCCATTCTAGGCTCTTCTTCGACCATTTCCCTTATTCTTCTGTCAGAATTATTTCGGTCTAGTTCCATAAGACTACCAACCGAATGACACCTAGTTGGCACCAGAGTTTCGGAAGACATGTTGTTCGCTACATCGCCACCTGCTTGTTGGTCGCCGACCACTAATTTATCGGCACTGGCTGCTTGAGGCACCAACGATAACAGCAAATCCAATCTAACAGGCGTTTCTGCAGCAAGTTCTTCGGCGATATCGAAACAATTAATTTCATACCCTTCGTTTACCCACCAATGAGTGCAAATCTTCTCGATGTCCGATCGCTTTTTTGGACACACCGTCAGCATGTCTTTTATTAGTGGCGAGGCAGCTACAAGAAATAAATTTTCGATTAAAAGAGGAGTAATTATTAACTCTGGGTCAACTGGAATTAAATAATCGACGAATTAATTTATATTTATTGAGTCGGTCGACGTAGAAACTACAAAAGCGTTCTCCCCCTTACTTCAATCGACAGCATTCTATCAGTCCTTGTATACGGCAATTTAATCCGGATGAGTTTTTATTACAAAAGCATAGTTTTACTCACGTGATGGTTTCTGTGGTTCGAAGTAATCCGACTGAGAGATCTGTTTGACTAGCCTTTTGAAATTCGATCCGTCGAAGGGCATGGCACCGTAAACCAAGGTGTACAAAAGAACACCTAAACTCCAGCAGTCGACCTCGGGGCCATGATACGGTGTCCCCTTAACAATTTCCGGACTGGCGTACAAAGGACTGCCGCAAAACGTGTCCAATAACCGCTGCTCGTCGAAGACATTCGACAGTCCGAAATCCGCGATTTTAGCATTGCCGACCTGATCCAGAAGAATATTCTCCAGCTTCAGATCCCGGTGACAGATCTTATGTTTATGGCAATAGTAGACAGCGATGGCTATCTGGCGAAATATCCTTCGAGCCTCCTTCTCCGACAATACTTTACGTTTCCTCAAATAATCGTACAACTCCCCGCCAGCCGCATATTCCATAACTAGCACCATCTTCTCCTTGTTCTCAAAAACTGTAACCAAAGAAAAAGAATCCTATATTATCCTATAATTTCTCTCTGGATATGTTCTTACGGAAAACTCATCATATCAATATAAGGCAGCCTAAATAAAAATCCCCCTTCAATATAACGCGTACCTTATGAGGGAGAATTCTAGGGTTGTAATGAATGTACTTATGCTAAAAGCGGAAACGGAAGGGAAAGAAGAAAAATCGCGTTGCGGAAGCGAATGCAAAAGTCCACGTGATGCGGAAACCAAATTAAACATTCGTTACAACCCCACTAAGGTAACGAAAATACTTATGTCGAAAACAAAAAAGAAATTAGAAGAGAAGTCGTATAGCGAGTGCGAAAGTCCAAATGATGCGAGACTTTCGCATACCTTGAAAACGGAATCAAATATTCGTTGCAGCACTATAAAGTTCTTTAGTCCTCCATTATTTTCAATCATGACCCACCTTCGTAAATGTGTATAATGTTCGGATGTTGCACGCTGGACATGATCTGGATTTCCCTTCGTATCCTGACGAGATCGGCCTCGGTCTCCACCTTGCATTTTTTTATGGTCTTGATCGCTACTTCCTGTCCGGTTTCCTTATTGATTCCAAGTTGCACTTTGCCGTAGGTACCCTGACCAAGTTTCTTGATAATGTCGAATCTGAAACGATCATTGATTTAGGGTGAAGTGAAAGCCCCCTCAAATCAGTCGACTCGAACAAGTACCTTTTTTTAAAGGTACTGGACCGAACCGTCCGAAACTTTGATACATGACTAGTGATCACCTAAGAATTGTCTCGACATTTTCAAAATTTGGATTTTCGAATAAAAATTTCTTTACTTAGCCTAGACCAGAACCAAAATGGTATAGAGCACTCAGATTTCGATCGATACACAATTATCGAAGACTCCGATATGAGAAACGAAAGTGTCAGGACAATTGTACATTGATTCAGAACACTCTAGTACATAAGGTACTCGCATTTGAACGGGATAAAAGGCAAAGAAGTGTCTTATGTGCTTCTGTGCTAAAATAAAGGTAACGCGAGGGTTCGGAAAGAAAATTTAGTTCACACTAAAATCACAGATGGCGTAGGGTGGCCCACTGCAGTCAATTAGGGCATGAAAAACCACGAATTCAGAAGATTTCTGGCGTTTCACTTCGATTTCTTTACAATAATTGTACGGAAAAGACACATGGTGTACGCTAATTAGTACAATACCCAGTATACTTCGACACCGCTGTCGATATAAATACGAACGTCGGGAACGTAGGTATTTATAAGAATCATTTTTGCCGACGTCGATCAAATTTCCCGACGTGTTCCGCTTCACCTTAGGCCTGGGAAGGTGGATTTTCGCTCGTCTCGTCAAAATCGACGAGGAAATTGACTCGTCTGGGGCGGTATCCGATTTCCATGCCGCGTGCCGCTGGCGTGACAGCCAAATGGCAGTGATTCTTTAATTAACGATCTTGGCGCCCGTGGCAGAGGCTACTTGACCAACTGTCAACAAGGTATTGGCCAATCCGTCTACACGTCCTATCATTTCCCGTTACGGTCCACATACGAGACCCATCGACATTATTCAGACTCCGAGGTCGATGGTTCCGGGCTCTTACCTTTGCTTCAGTTTGCGCTTGTGATTGTGTAGACGCACCGTGCCCGTGCTCTCCATCCCGCCCATTATATTGTGGATGCTCGCTCCCCCGACCACCATCTTGCCGGCTTATCTGGAACAGTTGATGCAATTTTAATATCGGGGAATTGATACAGATTACCATCGATCTACCATTTATCTCCACACTTCTGCAAAGTGGAGCGCAGAGAAAGACGAAATATTCTAACACGATTCCACATATCCAGGTATGCTTGGATGTTACTTCGGGAATTAAGGTGAAGTGAAACCCACTTTAAATCAGTCGATTCGAATATAACACTTTTTTTAAGGGTACTAGACCAAACTGTCCAAAACTTTGACACGTCACTCCTGATGATCTAAGAATTGCCCTGACACATTCAAAACTTGGATTTTTGGGAAAAATGTTTTTAATTAGCCCAGCCCAAAATTAAAATGGCGTCGAGCTCTCATATTTCGATCAATATACAATTATCGAAGGCTCTGATATGAGAAACGAAAGGGTCAGAACAATTTTACGACAATTTAGAACACTCTGGTAATCGATAAACTCGCATTTGAACGGGATAAAGGCAAAAAAAGTGTTATATGCGCTTTTATGCTAAAACGATAAGAATACGAGGTCTCGGAGTGAAAATTTAATCGACCTGGAAATCACAGATGGCGTAAGGTGTCCCTCTACAGTCAATTAGGGCCCCAGAAAGCATGAATTCAGAGGATTTGTGGAGTTTTACTTTGATTTCTTGGTATTTATTGTACGAAAACGACAGGTGGAGTATGCCATTTGGTACAATATCCAATATAATTCGACAGAGCTGTCAATATAAAAACGAACTTCGGCAACGTAGCCATTTAGAAAAATCTTCTTTATGGACGTCGACCAAGTTCCTCGACTTGTTTCACTTCACCTTAATACCGATTACCATCGATCTACCATTTTTCTCCACACTTCTGAAAAGTGGAGCGCAGAGGAAGACAGAATATTCCAACATGATTTCACATATCCAGGTATCCTTGTATATTAACTTCGGGAATTAAGGTGATGTAAAAGATGTGAATTAAGATGGTGTAAAAGTGGCGCAAAGATGTCTCGTTTATGAAACGAGAGAAACTTTTCGCTGAAATGGATCTACCGAATCGTTTCAAAGTTGGTGATATGTAAATGGAGGCTATAAGGAAGGGCCTGGCACCCATTTAATTTTTTTTTAAACTTGTTTATAGATATTGTCAACATTTATTATAAAACATGATTTTTCATAAGGGTCGGGACCTTCCTTCTAACCTCCATGTTCACGTTGTAAAATTTCATGAACGATGGACCTTTCGGATACCTATTTCATGCCTCCTTAAAGGAAAATATCTAGAAGCACTGAAGATTCGTATCTTTGGCGTAATGCAGGGATATCTTTTTCCTTCCTATTTTTACGACACTTTCCATACGTAAAAAATTCATTTAGGTAATGAATTGCGATCGTATTGTTTCTCGACACGCTATGTAAGTTTTTTCTGGTGTAGATGTTAATTAATTCACTATTGCCCTATAGTTTTAATCTTCGAGTATACAGGGTGTAACAGAAATGGAGGACACGGTTTATACAACGCTATCTTTGTTGAAAAAGCGCTGTATAAATCGTGTCCACCATTTCGGTTACACCCTGTATAGAAAAATTAGGTGGGTGATGATTATACCTTCTTGTTACCGACGTCAATGATTCGTCCTGACTTATTTTTCTGTTTTAATCGGGAAAAGGAGTCGACCGAAACGTGTACACGCGAAATCACGAGGACGTTCGGCTCTTCGACTTTTCGGTTTGCTGGCCGATGTTGTACTGAGACTTTACAAAGTCTATATACTCAGGTACCCCGTCGAGGGTAGGGGATTAAACTACCCCCATTCAGGGGGATTATAACGGGACATTCTAGCACCCCTAAGCTGTCGCTTTGACTAAGAATTTGGACTCAAATCTCATGACAATAGAGGTACAATTGTTCAGGTACACCAAACAGCAGATCAAGTGGTACCTTCCACCGAATTAAGGTGAAGTGAAACCGCCTTCAAATCAGTCAATTCGAATACAACACTTTTTTTTAAGGGTATTAGACCAAACTGTCCGAAACCTTGACACATCACTCCTGATCATCTAACAGTTGTCCTGACACCTTCAAAATTTGGATTTTTTGAAAAAATTGTTTAACTTAGCCCAGACCAGAAACAAAATGGCGTCGAGCTCTCATATTTTGATCAATATACAATTATCGAAGGCGTATGAGAAACGAATATGAGAAACGAATATGAGAAACGAAAGGGTCAGGAGAATTTTACAATTATATAAATTAACGCCGTTATTAAGTAATTCCTACACCTTTTCATTTTCTTTTATTCTAACTCTGATTAAAACGTATCTTACAGCCTACTAACTCTCTTAACACTATTTCTATCACGATTTTGTGTATACTTATTTCGACCAAAAGGTTTTGATGAGCTGGAGGAAAATGATACCGCTAAATAAATTTAACAATTATTATACGAAAACTCAAAACATTAATTGAGAAAAAATTATTAAGCTTTGAAAATAATTTCAAGTTAAAATTTTAAAAGGTGTCTTTTGACACCTTTGGTAGAAATAGTGTCAAGGTGAAGTGAAACACGTGAAGTAAAACACTCACACAAAGAAAGTCGTACAGAATAATATGCGCATTTGTGATAGGTCTACAACTTTGATATAAAGCTTTTTTGCATATCATTAATATTTTCTAAGATAAACAAATAAAATTGATGTTTTCCTTAATTTTATGGTTTTCCCATTTTCAAGGGCCCAGCGGCACTCTTTCCCTTTGTCTGATTAAGCTCAAACTTTACACGAATTATTTTTAGATAAAATGGAACCAAACTGGGGGGACAGCGCGAAGAAAATTCAAACTCTGAAAATAAGAACCATCCTAGGCACAGCTACATTACGTTCACGCGCGAACGGTGCTTTGCTCGTAAAAATGTACGTTTACTTGTAGACGCAATATAGCCATTTGATGGACTTGAAAAAACGCGCTTATGCGCGGGTCCTTACGGGGACTTCCGCGAGACTTTGCGGTCTTTTCCGGATTTCAGTGGTCGGAAGATTTGACGAGTAAGTGCGCATTCTTCGTGGGAGTCCACGCGTGTACCCGCCGCATCCGGTATTTCGGTAATACGGTTTAACACGGGATTTTCGCGAGTGTGTGCATCCGGCCTCGAGGGTCCACCGGTACGGCCCTGCCCCGTAAAAGTGGATGACGCTAAGCCAAGGTACAGTGATCGGGCATAGATGAAGAGAGAGAGAATGCGGTGAGTTTATTTCGAGCGTCGAGACGCCGAGTGTCGCCCCGTCGAGTCCCTTTCTCGCTCCCTCTCTCTCCGTTTCTGTCGTTTTCGCCTATACGCGTCGTCCTCGTAGAAGCCTGGAAAGAGAAGAGGTGCACGTGCCTAGATGCCTTCGTCTAGGTACGACGTGTCTATAATTTCTTCCAGATCGAGACGAAGACGTGGCAGGATTTAATGCTGCCTGGACTTGTAGAGTAGGCGAGGGAGAGATGGCTACCGGAAGTTGGGACAAAAATAATTTTTCTAGTAGTTCTCATTTAGGGAAATTAACAAGGGAGATCAGGGCTAGTTGTTACATTTCGATTTTAGTAGTTTTTTACGAGTCTCCTACTAAAACTGGGAACTTGAGCTTTTTGTCATCGATCTAGTAAACCCTTGGGTAGGTTTTATAATTTCTTCATATTTATATTAATTTGTTAACGTATTTAAATTTGAATTTAGGGAAATTAACAGGGCACATCGGGGCTAGTTATTACCTTTCGAGTTTAGTAGTTTTTTACGAGTCTCCTACTAAAACTGGGAACTTGAGCTTTTTGTCATCGATATAGTAAACCCTTGGGTAGGTTTTATAATTTCTTCATATTTATATTAATTTGTTAACGTACTTAGATTTGAATTTAGGGAAATTAACGGGGGAGATTAGGGCTAGTTGTTACATTTCGAGTTTAGTAGTTTTTTACGAGTCTCCCACTGAAACTGGAAACTTGAGCTTCTTGTCATCAATCTATTATAGTAAACCCTTGGGTAGGTTTTGTGACTTCTTCATATTTATATTAATTTGTTAACGTACTTAAATTCGAATTTAGGGAAATTAACAGGGCACATCGGGGCTAGTTGTTACATTTCGAGTTTAATAGTTTTTTACGAGTCTCCTACTAAAACTGGGAACTTGAGCTTTTTGTCATCGATCTAGTAAACCCTTGGGTAGGTTTTGTAATTTCTTCATATTCATATTAATTTGTTAACGTACTTAAATTTGAATTTTTTTTTGTACAGTGCAAAGTGTAACAGTTTGTCCCATTGTGCAGCGCAGTTATTATATGTACAGAATTGTATTAAAAACATGCATAAATGCGACAGAAAACAACAAAGAAGTATCAAAGATAATTAAAACGCAAGATTTATTTAGATCTCGAATTAAACAATTAACGATCACGTGCATAAAACGGATCATCGTTCCTCCTGCTCATACGAGCCTATTTCTTGCGTTTACTGGATTGAATCTATCCTCATTTTCCTTTGCCGTTTTTTAAAAAATATAAAAAGAAATAATTTAAATAAAAGTTTCGTAAAAGCGTGGGGCTTGCAACTCTTTTCTCCTGAGAGCTATTACCGAGAAACAAAAATATACAGGATGTCATTAATGATTATGTACTGAAGAGAATTACGATTTTAATTTTTATAATTCGCCGAGCCATTGAACCTGAAACGATTCGTCGAATATAAAAGCATGTAAAAGAGCACTAGAAGCGTAAATCAACGGAAAATATGGGACACCCGGCCAATGACCGGGGAATCTAAAATATACAAAGTGACGAGAGTGTTCGAACGGTGATTCGATTTCTTTGGAAAGAGAAAGATAAGAGACTCGATTAAGCTCGATTGCTCTCCGAAAAGCATGCATGTCGTAGCATTTAATTATAACGTCGCATTTAGTTGCTAAAGTCCGAAAACGCTGTGATTGATAACGCGCTTTCCTTCCCGAAGCATTGAAATAATTAGCTTAATTAATAATG